TGTTCAACTCCAGGGTTTAGGTCAGGTGAAAGTGAAATATTTGAAATTGGCCCATTAGCGCCCCCTAAAGACTGAGTCAAAGTTTACATGGGGAGCCATACCAGCTCTGCTTATCATATTCCTTACAATTTGACTAACAATCTTCTATGGCTACGGAAACAAATCATCACACGGCGGCGCCACCTCCTTTGCGTAGTGCTGCGTGGTACGGTGTGGTGCGGCGTAGTGCGGGGCGTTGTGGAACGGCGTGTTGCGGCTTGGTGCGGCTTGGTGCGGGGCGGCTTGATGCGGGACGGCGTGGTGCAGGGAGGCGTGGTGCAGGGAGGCGTGGTGCGGGGTGGCTTGGCACGGGGTGGTGCGTGCGGTGCGGGGAGTCGCGCGGTCCGGCGAGGGCCGTTCGACGCCGCTTGCGGCTTTAATTTATTTCTTTCTTTCTTTCTTTCTTTTTTCTTCTGCACTTTGAGCCTTAATTTGACCCCCTGAACATGCATGAAAAGTTGTTAATTTTGGCCCAAAAATCAGACCTGGTGAAAAATTTGATATTTTGGTGTTTATTTTTATGGGACTCAAAAAATGACAGAACAGCGCCACCTACAACAGCCAAAATAATACCCCTATGGGACTTTTCGGAGGTCAAGTTTGTCGTAGAAACATGAGATTTGGTACACATGTTCTTCAAGTCAAGACAAGAAAAAAATATTATTATGGCTCCGCCCTCTGACAAACAGGGAGCCCATAAATCTCACTGCAAAATGGAAAAATGAACAGCAAAAGTTTTCATACATGTCGGTTGGAAAGCGACTCCTCCTCGGCCGTTTCACCGATTCGCCTCAAAATCGCTCCACATCATCTCAACACATGTACCTTCAAAATGACCTCAGGGATTTTTGATCAGTGAAACATTGTTCGAGCAGCGGAGCGGCAAAATGTGACCTTTTTTTGGCCGTTTATGACAACATTAAATTTGCTCCTGTTTGCACAAACAAAGTCTGATTTGCACAAAACTTTAATACATTGTTAAGCTCTAGGGTCTAGGTCATTTGAAAGTTAAATCATTCCAATTGACTCATTAGCGCCCCCTACAGACTATTTCAAAGTTTTAGATGGGCATTTTCAAATTTAGTTTTTTCAAAATGTTTGAAATTTTGCACAAAAATCTGTTTTGCCCTCTTGATTCAAAAAGTCAATTGGGTCCAAGGCTTATTTTTTACTCTGTTGCCGTGGCGACAAGAAACGCTCCCCATTCATTGCAAATGTACACCTCACACAAACATCAAACCAGCCTCGGCCGTTTCACCGATTCGCCTCAAAATCGCTCCACATTATCTCAACACATGTACCATCAAAATGACTTCAGGGAATTGTGATCAGTGAAACGTTGTTTGAGCAGCGGAGCGGCAAAATGGAAAGTTTTTTTCTGCCGTTTTTGACAACATTAATTTTTTTTCCGTTTGCACATACAAAGTCTGATTTGCATCAAACTTGAACCCATTGTTCAACTCCAGGGTTTAGGTCAGGTGAAAGTGAAATATTTGAAATTGGCCCATTAGCGCCCCCTACAGACTGAGTCAAAGTTGACATGGGGAGCCAAACCAGCTCTACTTATCATATTCATTACAATTTGACTAACAATCAAACAAATCAACAAATCATCACACGGCGGCGCCACCTCCTTTGAGCGGTGCTGCGTGGTACGGTGTGGTGCGGCGTAGTGCGGGGCAGTGTGCGGGGCGTTGTGGAGCGGCGCGTTGCGGCTTGGTGCGGGGCGGCGTGATGCGGGACGGCGTGGTGCAGGGCGGCGTGGTGCGGGGTGGCTTGGTGCGGGGGGTGTGCGCGGTGTGGGGAGTCGCGCGGTGCGGCGAGGGCCGTTCGACGCCGCTTGCGGCTTTAATTTATTTATTTCTTTCTTTCTTTTTTCTTCTGCACTTTGAGCCTTAATTTGACCCCCTGAACATGCATGAAAAGTTGTTAATTTTGGCCCAAAAATCAGACCTGGCGAAAAATTTGATATTTTGGTGTTTATTTTTATGGGACTCAAAAAATGACAGAACAGCGCCACCTACAACAGCCAAAATAATACCCCTATGGGACTTTTCGGAGGTCAAGTTTGTCGTAGAAACATGAAATTTGGTACACATGTTTCTCAAGTCAAGACAAGAAAAAAATATTATTATGGCCCCGCCCTCTGACAAACAGGAAGCCCATAAATTTCACTGCAAAATGGAAAAATGAACAGCAAAAGTTTTCATACATGTCGGTTGGAAAGCGACTCCTCCTCGGCCGTTTCACCGATTCCCTCAAAATCGCTCCACATCATCTCAACACATGTACCTTCAAAATGACCTCAGGGATTTTTGATCAGTGAAAGATTGTTTGAGCAGCGGAGCGGCAAAATGTGACATTTTTTTGGCCGTTTTTGACAACATTAAATTTGCTCCCGTTTGCACAAACAAAGTCTGATTTGCACAAAACTTTAATACATTGTTCAACTCTAGGGTCTAGGTCGTTTGAAGGTGAATTAATTCAAATTGACACATTAGCGCCCCCTACAGACTATTTCAAAATTTTAGATGGGCATTTTCAAATTTAGTTTTTTCAAAATGTTTGAAATTTTACACATAAATCTGTTTTGCCCTCTTGATTCAAAAAGTCAATTGGGTCCAAGGCCTATTTTTTACCCTGTTGCCGTGGCGACGAGAAACGCTCCCCATTCATTGCAAATGTACACCTCACACAAACATCAAACCAGCCTCGGCCGTTTCACCGATATGCCTCAAAATCGCTCCACATCATCTCAACACATGTACCTTCAAAATGACTTCAGGGAATTTTGATCCGTGCAACGTTGTTTGAGCAGCGGAGCGGCAAAATGTGAGGATTTTTTTGGCTCTTTTTGACAACATTAATTTTGCTCCTGTTTGCACAAAGTCTGATTTGCACAAAACTTTAATCCATTGTTCAATTCCAGGGTTTAGGTCAGGTTAAAGTGAAATATTGGAAATTGGCCCATTAGCGCCCCCTACAGACTGTGTCAAAGTTTACATGGGGAGCCAAACCAGCTCTACTTATCATATTCATTACAATTTGACTAACATTCTTCTATGGCTACGGAAACAAATCATCACACGGCGGTGCCACCTCCTTTTAGCGGTGCTGCGGCGTAGTGCGGGGCGTTGTGGAGCGGCGCGTTGCGGCTTGGTGCGGGGCGGCGCGTTGCGGCTTGGTGCGGGGCGGCGCGTTGCGGCTTGGTGCGGGGCGGCGCGTTGCGGCTTGGTGCGGCTTGGTGCGGGGCGGCGTGGTGCGGGACGGCGTGGTGCAGGGCGGCTTGGTGCGGGGCGGCATGGTGCGGGGAGTGCGCGCGGTGCAGGGAGTCGCGCGGTGCGGCGAGGGCCGTTCGACGCCGCTTGCGGCTTTAATTTATTTATTTCTTTCTTTCTTTCTTTCTTTTTTCTTCTGCACTTTGAGCCTTAATTTGACCCCCTGAACATGCATGAAAAGTTGTTAAATTTTGCCCAAAAATCAGACCTGGCGAAAAATTTGATATTTTGGTGTTTATTTTTATGGGACTCAAAAAATGCCAGAACAGCGCCACCTACAACAGCCAAAATAATACCCCTATGGGAGTTCTGAAGATCAAGTTTGTTGTAGGGTGATGAAATTCGGTACACATGTTCCTCAAGTCAAGACAAGAAAAAAATATTATTATGGCTCCGCCCTCTGACAAACAGGAAGCCCATAAATGTCACTGCAAAATGGAAAAATGAACAGCAAAAGTTTTCATACATGTCTGTTGGAAAGCGACTTCTCCTCGGCCGTTTCACCGATTCGCCTCAAAATCGCTCCACATCATCTCAACACATGTACCTTCAAAATGACCTCAGGGATTTTTGATCAGTGAAACATTGTTTGAGCAGCGGAGCGGCAAAATGTGACCTTTTTTGGCCGTTTTTGACAACATCAAATTTGCTCCCGTTTGCACAAACAAAGTCTGATTTTCACAAAACTTTAATACATTGTTCAACTCTAGGGTCTAGGTCATTTGAAAGTGAATTGATTCCAATTGACACATTAGCGCCCCCTACAGACTATTTCAAAGTTTTAGATGGGCATTTTCAAATTTAGTTTTTTCAAAATGTTTGAAATTTTGCACAAAAATCTGTTTTGCCCTCTTGATTCAAAAAGTCAATAGGGTCCAAGGCTTATTTTTTACCCTGTTGCCGTGGCGACGACAAACGCTCCCCATTCATTGCAAATATACACTTCACACAAACATCAAACCAGCCTCGGCCGTTTCACCGATTCACCTCAAAATCGCTCCACATCATCTCAACACATGTACCTTCAAAATGACTTCAGGGAATTTTGATCAGTGAAACATTGTTTGAGCAGCAGAGCGGCAAAATGTGAGGGTTTTTTTGGCTCTTTTTGACATTAATTTTGCTCCTGTTTGCACAAACAAAGTATGATTTGCACAAAAATCCATTGTTCAATTCCAGGGTTTAGGTCAGGTTAAAGTGAAATATTGGAAATTGGCCCATTAGCGCCCCCTACAGACTGTGTCAAAGTTTACATGAGGAGTCAAACCAGCTCTACTTATCATATTCATTACAATTTGACTAACAATCTTCTATGGCTATGGGAACAAATCACCACACGGCGGCGCCACCTCCTTTGAGCGGTGCTGCGTGGTACGGTGTGGTGCGGCGTAGTGCGGGGCGTTGTGGAGCGGCGCGTTGAGGCTTGGTGCGGGGTGGCTTGGTGCGGGGTGGCTTGGTGCGGGGTGGCTTGGTGCGGGGCGGCGTGATGCGGGACGGCGTGGTGCGGGACGGCGTGGTGGCTTGGCACGGGGTGGTGCGCGCGTCGCTGGGGTGCGCGTGGTGCGGGGAGTCGCGCGGTGCGGCGAGGGCCGTTTGACGCCGCTTGCGGCTTTAATTTGACTTGTTATTTCCCCTGAATGACTGATAAATGATTGATAAATGATTGATAAAGCAGCAGTGTACCGTGCCCCAGACGGCCGTAGTTGCCTCGGCCCCAGGTGAAGAGCTCCCCGTCGGCTGTGACCGCGGCGCTGTAGGTGCTTCCACACGCCACATGCACCACCTGCTTTCCCGCCTGCTTCCCGTTGAAGGCTGCGATCAGGGTTGGCTCCTCCAGGTACCTACAACACATCAATTATGTAAGTACGACTTATTTGCATTTCATATGTTGTGTGTATGAAACCAGCAGAGCACTGCCAGCACTGTCATGGTAAGGTGTCTGCATAATAGTTTTGGCCCTGTACTATAATGTAACAACTTTTTATTATAATCAATGTGGCCCCACAGACCATAGGCTGCACTTATCACCACTTGATATAGCATTACTATTATTAGACTTGAACCACCCAGGTTTATACCACAAAAGACCCCAAATTAAACTAGGGTTAACCCCAAAATGAAAGAAAATGTATTTATTTATTATTATTTTGGTCTTTCTTGTTTGGAAGATTGTCTATGTGCTCTAGTGGCACAAGAAATACCATTTGTATTTGAAACAGCTGCTGAGTTTATTAAGAGCATAAATGTAAGTAAGTAAGTAATGTTTATTTATAAAGTGCATTTTATAGACCAAGCACTTCACAAAATAAATAATAAATAAAATATATATAACTAACTATAGCCGATTGTAGTTTTTAACAGCCAATCTTTATGTACAGGCAAAAATATTTCAGGTTTCAGATCATTCTTTAGTCTTTGTAAGGGCTTAGAAGATTTATGTATAAAAAAATCTGATGATTGTTTAGATTTTTATAAGAGTATAGGTATAGATATGTACCTATAGATGTAGAATGTGTTCAGTTGTACCAGTATGTATATTAATGGCTTACGTGGTGTCTCCATGCCCCAGTCTGCCTCCGTCCCCGCAGCCCCAGGAGAAAACTTCTCCACTGGACGACAAGGCCATGAAGTGCTGCCCGTCTGGATGCGCTGCGAGCTTCGTGATCTTTCTGGAGCTCAGAGCGTGAAGCAGCATCGGGGCCTGAGACCAGGATTAATCAGAGGTTTTAAGACGAAGAGACGTTCGATGAGATGAAATAAGGAATAACACTGTATGAGCAAAAATATCTGAATAATTCATCAAGTTTAACAAGTGGTTGGGGGAAAAAATTATGATACTTTGTGCACGTAATTAAATAAAAATATTAAAGTATTGTGATATTCAATCAAGTGTGTTTTCTCTAGTTATTTCCATCTGATGTTTATGTTACTCTATGATGTCTGCTTCTTGTGAATCTAGTCTGTTGTATCTGAATAATTTAAGTGATGTGCTGGGAGCTCACCATTAATATGAGAGGTCGTCTATTCAGAGAATTATGATGTCTTGTCTGTAAAAAGGTCCTGTGTCCTGAATGTTCAAGGATAACATTTGAAGTTTGCACTTCAGCTCATGTGACATTTGAGTTGTCTTAATTTCCTTCATTTTTGTAATGCCTTTGATTAATATGAGGGACATGAACCACACTACATCTCAGAATCGAATCACAGCACTTACTGTATCACAATATGTTAAGAATTTTACCGGAGAGTAACATAGTTGTAAACATAGTAATTTTCGTTGTATTTTGGTTAATTGAGCATTTTACCCCAGCTGAATCTACAGCTTCTGATTCTCGCCTGTTCTCAGTACTTTTCCAATCAACAATACTGTTTCCATATACAACACATTGTGCATGTTACTGGAGCACCTGAAGCACCTGAACCAACACAAACACACATGGGAGAACATGCAAACTCCATACAGACATATGAGACTGACCAGAGTGGTGCCTTTGTAGTTCTGGGAGTACACGGCGCCGGTGCTGGCCAGGATGAGGAAGCACTTTTCGGAGCAGACGATTTGAGCCACTCCCAGGTTGGACAGAGCCTTACACTGGACCGGTCCATTCACGTTGGCGTACAGCTTCCAGCCCAGGAGACCCCAGGCGATTACCTCCTGCATTGTGCCCTAAAGCCAGGGGAGAATAAATGTCTAAAAGCTTATCAGCATAGTAGTAGAACATATTCACAATTATGTACAACAAAAGAAAATATGCAAACATAAGCAAACATAAACGGTTGGACGATGCAAACCCTCTCACTCGTACAACACAGACAAACACACACACACTCACTCCAACAGGACACAGTTCCAAACACTCTCTGACACTACACACACCCAGTACCTAGTACTGTATTTTCTGGAATATAAGGCGCTCCTGTATACGAGCCGCACCACCTACATTTTCAAGATTCAGTTTAATTGCCTTTTTAAAAGAAAATCAATGTTTTCCACCTATACGCCGCACTTGGATATAAGACAAAGGTTTTCATTTTGTGATGTAACAGAGAGACGACGTTTTTAAATGGGCGGCACGGTGGCAAGAAGGTTCTGGGTTCGAATTCCGGTAGGATCCGGGTACACCCCCACCAGATTGGAGTGATATTGCAAGCATATGAGCATGTGCATGTGCTCATGGACCTTTTGGAGCCGGGACCCGCCCCCACTGGTTCTGACTTTTTGGTCAGCTATATGAGCCGCAGGGAAAAAGTAGCAAATTACTTAGTAGGAAATTATGATACTTTTGTACGTTTTTATGTTTTCTTAATCTTGGTAAATTGTAGAGTAACTCCAGCTGCCATTATAGAATTATCTGAGAAAAAACTCTTCTCACCATGTGTGAGAATCTAAAAACAGACTAAATCTGTTGAGAAGTATGTCAGTAATTGAAATACTTCTCATAGACTCAAATGATTTTATAGCGGCTTCCAGTTTAATCAAAGTCTTTCAGGCCATTGTTCGAGACCTAAAATGGTGTAATCCAATAATCCGTGGCAGCTGACGGAGGAATGGTCACCTTGTGGGATGTGGGGGAGTTACAGTTGGGGGGACTGCAGGGAGCGGCCAGACGGTCCAAGTGAGCCATGATGACCACCGCAGTCTGACGCAGGTCTATGGCCAGGTCATTGTCCTGGGGCAAGGTCAGGTACCGCAGGAAGCTCTCGTTCGGACTTAGAGGTGCAGCCAAGATCTGGAAGGAATGAAGGAAAAGGATATGAGGACATTATTCAACAGATCAAAAAGAGGCTTTACGATTTTTGAAACAGCCCTGTGAGTCACTCTTTGACACTCTGGGTTATGAGCCCGAATGAGAGGGGGGAATGATCTGATGTGACAGAGGCCAAATATACATAGTTGGTTTTAAATTAAAAGATTGGTTAATAATATATAATCTTTAATCTTAAAATTGGTTTTAAGATTAAAGATTATAGTCCGAAAAATATGGTATTTGTCACCTCGGACTCCTCCTCTGGGACGGTCTCCTCTTTGCTGCTCTGGATGTTGTTGAGGCGCTGGAGCAGGGGGAGCAGAGGGGCACTGGTCCCCTGGGTGGAGCGCTCGTTGTCCATCTCTCTGGTGCCGCTGTCCCAGAGTCGCAACAGGAGCAGGACAGCCGACAGGAGCTGACTGAGAGAGACCACAACAGTACTGATGTGAAGAACCCGAGGGGAAGATGGCATTTATGATCATGGAGAAGCTTAGAAGGTTAGTAAGACAAAAGTGTAAAGAGGCTAGTTCTACTTAAATACCATATGTTTTGGCGGTAGACTTCCGTGATGGTGATGTGTCTCTATCAGCTGTTGTTACTTGTTTATCAGACTGGACCAACCCCACTGTGGTCTCTGGAGAAGTGTGTCCAGGTGTAGGCCCCCTCATCTCTGTTGATTGTCCGTGTGCACTGCTTGTTGATTTCAATCTCAACGCATATCAATGTTTTGTACTTATGTTCTTTTCCTTCCACTTTTGCTTTGTCCCAGTCCATTTTATGTGATTTTTTTGTTCATTAAAGACAACAAAACAGATCCAATCTTCTAGTTCGAGCTACCTAAGATGATGATTTTTTCTTTCGGAGATAATGCCGAATTAAGGTTTTCCAGTGTTGTCTACCGCGGAAACATTTGGTAATTAAGTACTTACTTTTGTCTTATTAAAAGACCCTTCAAAGCATTAAACAAAAGAAGACATAATGAACATTTTACACTTGATAACGGAGAAGACTTCGATGGTTACCTCAAAGTCCCTCTTTGCACGGCCAGCTCCAGCAGGATGGCCAGAGCGAGGTGCTGGTCCTGGAGGGGGATGTTACCTTTTGTGCTAGCGTTACTGTGGAGATCGCTGGAAAAGTGGGAGATCATATTACAAACACATCTTATCATCATTTGAATCTTATCAATAATTATGATTGAAATTTGAATATGGCAACCCTTATTTAAATCTTATTTAAATAGGACTCAAAAAGCTCCAAATACAGATATATACTCCATATAACAAATAATATAATGATTTAAAAACACTTTATTCCAAATACATGCTATGTTTAATATAATCGTTCTGGGTTCAAAACTTCAATGTTTAAACAAAATTAGTTATGCAACATGAACATAACATATCTGCAAAAGTGGTGAATACAACTTTTGAGTATAGGAAAGTTTTTTGGGCCACAACTTGAACCCAGTTTGACTTTTTCCAGTTTTAATTTTTGTATCTATTTAACTATAATTTAACTATTTAATCAGTCTGTGATGACTTTAAATTAATAATATTACATCCATCGGGTGGTTTTAACCATTGGCATTTTGAAAGAATGCCAAGCTAACCACTTTACGCTCAAACCGCGGGAATCTCAAACAATCGGAATTTGTGAATTTTGGGAGAGAAAGGCCACTGCCATAGGGCTCTTCTTTAGAATCAGAAAGTGAACGTACCTGAGAAACTTGGTGGCCCGCTCCACCACCTCCAGCCACACGGAGGAGACGGTGCCTTCGTCAAACAGAGTGGCTGCAGGAAGAGCACGAAGAGCGTCCAGAGACTCCTGCAGGAGCTCGATACAGAGGTCTGCATCATCACCTGAACCAGGACACACAGAACGCTCAGAGGGAGGTTCAACAGGAGCAAAGAGGCTGCACCATTCATCACAATCAAAAGAAAATTTATTTTAGTGGCTGCATTTATCCCACAATGCAACAATTTAGATCACATTATTCCCTTTACACAAACAGCTAATGCCTTTGTTGCATAAACATCTGGCGATCTGTGTATCTGTAAATGTCAATAATATTTTGTTCAGTGCAGAGTGAGTGCTTCTATTTGTGTTTTTCATTAAAAAAATGTCTTTGTGTTTTTTTTTCTGTGTCATCTCTCCTGAAGCCATAGGGGGCCTTATTTAGCCTTTTATTTTACCTGGATCTATACTGTTCACATGTTTGTGTGCTTGTTCTCTTCCAATCAGAACTTCATTTTAGTGGCGCGTGTTTAAAGTTGCGTGTGATTGAAGTCAAAACAAGCATAGACATGAAATAAACTCATAATTTCCACATATTAACAACTCAAAGTAATTGCAGATCATTGCAATATCGATATCACACTTGTATATCTTGTATCTTGACACAAAATATTGTGCAGTCTTACTATTTTACTTCAGATAACCACCAAAAGCTGCCATTCCACTAAAGAATGCAACGCAGATTGGGACAGATTATGGATGTAGCTTGTGGGCAGAGCAATAACAGGCCCTTGTTCCTGGAAGTGAGTTTCTCTTGTACATGAAGCTTAACTGTGCGTCTGATCATGTTACAGGAGACGACTGGGAGAGTGCTTTGTTCTGGCCGCTGCGAGAGGCTCAACATACCTCTGTCTGAAACTATTTTACACTAACTTTCACTGCTATAGAATTCTCTTCCATCTCCAATAAACCAGGACCATTCATCTGAGGCTGAGAATCTGATTAGTCAGGATAGAAAATGGAAAGTTTTTGCACTTTTACTGTATTTTAAATCTTGTCTTTCTGTGTTTTTATGTATCCCCACTGGTGCTTCGTCTGCAAATGAAGTTCCTCACAGATTTCAGATGTTGCTAATGAATAAACCTGTTTTTACAAGCAGGATATTTCAACATATGAATCTACTTGTTCCCCTAGATCGTTTTAAAACTAATACAACTAGATATAGAACTATACATTTGGTGGAATAGCAGGATAGTTCTTGTAAATGTATAAATATCAAAGTCAGAGATGTAACACTACCTCCACAGTACTATAACATTGCGACACATTGTTTACTGTTGGTGGTGACAAACAGCAGCTGTCAGTAGTAGAACTGCGCATGATAAGGAGTGTCCCAGACTCACCCGACCTCCAGGCTCGACGGAGGAACGCGAAAGCAAAGGACAGAGCTGCACGAGATCCCACTCTTGCCAATCCTTCAACTCCTTTACTCGCTGGACGCGGGCTGGACAACAGACAGTATGTGTGAGGTTATTTGTACTCCTAATCTGTTATAAGTGAGGTCTCCACATTCACAAAAAGGTCTCATTAAAAGGTCTGGAAACAAAACACTAGAACATAAACATTAGTCCCATTCTAAAATACCAAATAATAAGTCCATAAACTCTGCTCTGACTACAACTATTATATATATATATATATATATATATATATATATATATATATATATATATATATATATATATATATATATATATATATATATATATATATATATATTTGCCCCATTGCGGTTTATAAGGATCAAAGAACTAAAAAAAGAAGTGGCTTATAGTCCGGAAATTACGGTAGTACAATATTTCAAGAGTACAAAATACTGCATTTGATTGATAAGCAGCTGAAAGTGTCATAGATGATCACAAGATACGTCTTCTTTAAATACCGTCAATATGGAGACAGCTACAGTACTTTGTAAACCCCCTAAAGGTCTGTCCACTACATCTAGAGCCTAACCTCATGTGACTAATTTTCAATTATAATCTGACCTGAATAATTATTCACGTAAATGATTATTCACCCTTTACAAATATCCATTGTTTTCAATGTTTGCATTTCAAATATTTCCTGAAGAGACAGAAATAAAACTAATCCAAGGATCATGAATTTCACACACATTTCGATTTTCTCAGCGGATAAAAAGGGGTACTATATTGTGAGGCGTAATAATACGAGGAGCGCTATGTCCGTGCACTAACTCCAAAAGACTTCTCTCCCGCTCACTTCCGTCAACAGAAGCAGCGTGACTTGTTGGAGTTAGTGCGCAGACATAGCGCTCCTCGTATTATCACGCCTCACAATATAGTACCCCTTTTTATCCGCTGAGAAAATCGGCATGTTACATTTCTGTGTTACTATAGTTTGTAGAGTAACATGTCACGTAACTGTATTTAAATAAGGAACACGTGGAAGAAATTGGTAGCTTCTAACGGGATTTGGTACTATACAGTATGTGGAAGAGGCTGCGTTTGTGCTCCGTTTGCATCACAGAGCGCACGGACAAAGATCAGTCAGGTACATATCAACTAGTCTAGGGTAAGGTAAGAACATATGTCAGTATGTAAAAACGGTGGCCTATTCCTTTAATACATTTCCTGGGTCGGGGGGGGCAGTCAGAGCTGCACCCAGTACACAGAGCACCAGCCCCTCACTGATCCTCCTGCAGGTGGTGAGTCCACAGGGGCCTTGATCTTTCAGTGGGGGCTTCAGGCAAAGCGGGATTAAGTGTCTTGCCTAAGGACACAACAACAGCAGACATCAGTGGGAGTCGATGGAGAAGGTCTCGTGGTGAGCTCGAACCCACGACCTTCAGGCTCAAAGGCCATACTGTAGCTCTACCAACTGAGCCACTGTGGCCCCCAATTTGTAGTTGTATTGCCCTAAATCCCAACAATAGTTATCTCGGAGGATGTTACACAACTGTTGTCTATCACAGCTTTTACTCTACAACATGAAAATCTACACCTGGAGCCTCACCCCTTGTTGTCTGCAGCGGGCGGTGGGGGAGTGGGCGGAGTCTTCCAGCTAAACTTGTACTTCTCCTTCATCATGCTGTGGCTCAGGGAGATGATGTAACGCTCCAGAATGACGAGGCGCTGCCGCAGACGCTGAGCCGACAGCGTGCTCTTGGCCATCTGCACCGATAGCTTCTGCTGGTCGTCCACAAGCACCATTATGCAATCCTTCAGCTCCGTCTCATCTGAAGAGAAGAAAAGAGAAAATACAACAGCACATGAGGCCAGAGACCACCCCATCTGCGCTAAATGATCTAATCTACCATTCTGTCACCCCCTGGAGGACACTCTGTCTGCTCTGGAGAGTAGCTTCAGGGATAGACTTTCTTTCTTTTCTTTCTTTCTTTTATTTATATACCGCCTTTCACAGACCAGAGTCACAAAGCGGTTTACAATTGTTATTATTTTTGGGCATTGGTCCTCTCACTCCACACAGAGATGGGAGTGGGGGTCGCCAGTACAGGAGGCGCATGCCAGACCTATTGTGCATGTCTGTGCATGACTTATTCACCCTTGGTGTGAGAAAGAGAGGATGGATGGCCACCGTGCCATCCAGCAGGCAATCACAACATATGATGGCTGTATGTTGTGATTGTAGGTGTGAACAAAGGTTTTGGTCTCTCTTATAGACGGCGACAAATATGGGGTTTCTGAGGCCAGTGGTTAGTGCTTGTGCTTTACTGCCAGGAGGTCCTGGGTTTGATTCTACCTCCAGACCTTTCGGCATGGAGTTTACATATTCCCCCTATGTCTGTGCAGTTTTCTCAGTGGGACCTTTCTGGGTAAATAAAGATATTAGCAAGAATACATGTCAATACATGAGAAACATGTCATCCTGAAAACTATGACTTCTGACCATTTAACCTTTTGCCCAGACTATAGAAACGCTGACACGTGAAAATAGCATGTGTAACATCCACACAATCTGGTGTGTAAGCCTCAGGGTCGAGTTGTGCTGTGTACAGTCAGCTGTGAGCCAACGTCATGAACGAGATAAACAAGTCTGTGTACCGGTAGATAGTCAAGACCACAATCTACAACTTTGGACAATCTTCACTTAAAAACTAAATCTCTCTCTAAGCATCCTATACTATACACATACTTACCTTCATGTGTAATTTATAAAAGATAATAAATACATGTTGTAAAGCCCATAATTACGACGTGTGAACGTGTCTTGAAGGACTTTGAAAGATTCAAGATTCGTAAATTCCTTAGTGCACATTTAGAAAAGTCCTGGACCATCTCCTGTCCTTAGACCAGGGATGTCCAAACTTTAGGCCCGCGATTTAACAAATATAAAAGATTATTGACTACCGAAAGTTATAAGAATTTCTGTGTCTGCTTAAACTAGTGAAATCATGTTGATTTGACCATCCATCCATCCATTTTCCTTCTAAACATAGACTTCCAGACTTCCCTCTCCACAAAAACACTTCCTACAGCTCATCTGGGGGAATCCTGAGGTGTTCTCAGGCCAGCTGAGAACTCCTGAACTCTGAACATTGTAAAGTACTTCACGTGACCTTGGTCTGTAAAAAATTGCTATATAAAATAAAGATTACTCACTTACGAAAATAACATTCCCATATAGAACAAATGCAGTTAAAATAGGTACAAAAACTATTTCTATTGGGAATCCATTGCAACTGGTCTTGAAATAATACTAAACAATCTATCTACATAATACTGGATTTCTTCCTTCTTTAATGATCCCCATTACTAGCTTTCCGTCCGTACAATTGTATTCTGTCCTAATGATAATGATAATCAATCAACCGAATAATCTTCACATCCCTAGTTAGTACAGTTTCTGTCAAACATTGCAATGTTTTCAGTGTTTGCGTTTCAAACATTTCCTGAGGTAGAAATAGAACTAATCCAAGGATCATGAATTTCCCACACGTTTGCAAAGGTCTCTCTCTCAGTAGACTTGTGGTCCTTCTGTAACAGCTTTGACTGTTCAACGTGAATATAAATATATAAACGAATAGAGCTGAGCATGCCTCAGTGCTCCTGCCCCCGTGAAGCTCAGAGGAAGTGTGCCGTTTGAACCTCACACACTCAGGTTTCACACACTCAACTCCAGGGTCATTTCCTGCCCTCAAAAACACAGACTCTTCAGGGAAAAGCTGAATTATCAGTCCAATATCATAGACCATTTCCAGCTTTCTGTGGCCGCACATGATTATACCTTCATAAAAACCCTCACAAGCCTCTTATCCATTGTCCACACACGGTAAGGCAAGTTTATTTGAAGCAGAATTCATTCACAAGGCAACTCAAAGTCACAGACACTGGCAGCTTAGAAAAGAAAATGTATAAATGTGTGTGTATTATTACAATTATTTTCCACTCAAAATCCTAGACTGTATATACTGTAGATGGACAATACTAGCCCATTGAGTAGGGTGCTCCTCATTCCTACTGTTCTGTAATTGGTGATGCAACACTGAAATTTCCACACTGTGGGATGAACAAAGGATCTCTTCATCTTAATCTCATGGACAAAGTTTTGCTCCAACTTGCTCTGGCTTCTATTGACTTCCATTGAAAAGTAAACGCCTCTAGTAACCGTTTGTGTGCCACTCGCCATAAGGATTGGCGAGTGGGACAGATGCTTTGATTATCTGGGGGAAACTCCAGCTTGCCTTAGCAACAATTTTAGCAACAAATCTGCTTCTGTTACGACACAAAGCGAACGATATAGCCCATATTCTGAAATTGGCTCCAGCTATCTTATCCTAACCATAACTCTGTCTGGAAGTGCTAAGGACTACGCAACTGTGCTGCTTTTTCTAATTTAACTTAAATACCATTACACGCAAAATAAGATATACCGATGCTTTATTTTTTATAATGCTGATAATTGGCTCACATCTTGTAAAAATAAATGAATAAATAAAATAAGAATATTTTTAAAAAGGACTGAAAGACACAATCATCAACATCATCATAAAAAACAAAGGTATATGTCACTTGGCAGGTAACAGGTCTATATCATATATTAGCTTCACACTTTAGATTGGAAACTTTTGAACAATATTCTAATGTTACAAACTTCACCTGTAGAACAAAATGTTGTAGTCTGATCAATACACGTTTGTTTTTTGTCTGTTTTTATGTTATATGGACTCTTTGTGTGTCCGAATTAAAGATTAGATAAAATATTAATAAAATAAATTGCAGTTCTGTTAGAGACATAATTTAAATCCCTGTATACATAAAACAATTGATCACTCCTGTTAAAGCCCAAAATCAAAAATCACAATTGATTTTGTATGTCCAAAAGAATTACAAGTTTTGATAGCGGTGTCCATGCCCAGGCTGCACTAACTCCTACACATACATGGGAACCCCCAAAAACTTATCTCTGCGTCGCACACTCCAGTACCGCCCTGTGCCTCTGGTAAACAAATTATGTTGGACTCTACATTATTGACACCTCCAGGATTACTCCCCAAAGAGGTAAAAATAACCACAGTGACCTACAGACGCTGTCCAAGAACGCACGTGCCAGAAAAACATGTTGAAACAGTCCAGCTCGAGTGTTTGGACACCAGAGGAGGTTCACCGGGAGCAGGCTATTTCTGGGCAATGTCGAAAAGAGATATTCAGAATGTAGCAAGCTAGCATAACTGTGGTGCAAATATGTTTATGCCCTGGTCAGTGAACATTAACACTGTTTAAACCACATGGTAAATTACAGCAAGCAGAATTTTTGTTCACAAGTTAAATGGCTGTGTAGTGTACCTGCAGGTTTGAAATAAATAAACAAACAAAACAAAACAAAACCGGTTCCATATCACATCACCTGAGGTGTCACCATAACAACCATAGACTGTATATATATTAACGGACAGAATCAGGCCTGTCTCCGCCGTTCTAACTAATGGGCCAAAAAATGTGCTCTACTGGAGCAATCCAAAATGGCCGCGAGTGGTCCCGCCCACAAGAAAATTGTGAAAAAACGCATCTGCGCATGCGTCAGCCGGTGCAACTCCATTCATTTGAACGAGAGACTTCAAAAATTCACAGCAAGTAAACTAGAGTGGACCAAAAAAATGCACCCCCCTCAGCATTGACACACATGTGGAACGGAGCTTTGGGCCAAGAACCAACTTTTGGTTGATCCTGTAAAGACGTTTTTGAGAGGTCTGCCAATGCTATATGTTAGCATTGGCTAATTCTACTTCTGGGTCCACCCCCATCGGCCCGGGGTGGTATTGCAAGCATGTCAGCGCACGTCATTTTGGCCACTTTTGAGCTGGGACCCTCCCCCACTGATAACAACACACCGCAATGAGCAGCGTTTACTTAACGGATTATAAATTACACTTTTAAAGATTAGTTATACAGCAAGGTGTAGAGTTAAGTTGCTAAACATGCATGAAAGGTATGTATTTGTAAACTTCAGGAAAAGATTACATTTTGGTCATGGCAACAGTTGCTAAGGAAGTTTTTAACTAATTAAGGCTTGATATTTTCCAGTTTCAAATCAAATGTTATTTATAAATAGCTTTTCATACAAAAAAGCAAAACATAGTGTTTTACACTACCTTAAAAACAATGCTTATTGACCACTTCATCCACCCACGATAATCCACACACAACAGTAAATTTCACTTTCCGCAAGTGCATACATACAAACATACACATACACGCACTCAGATTAAAACTATGGAAAACTGTTTGTGTCCCGAGTCTGTCACATATTAACTTCACATGTTCTAAACCCTTTTTAACGAGTTTCACCTATGTATTCAGATTCAAGCAGCCAGAATTATTACACTAAATCAAGGATAATATTTATAAAGTAGGAGCGAAAACAAATATCTCGCCAAATCTAATTTAATTCATCCAAGCCAAAATTACGCAGTGGAAAAAAAAAAAAAAGACCTGTGCTGCTGCCGAAAATTACATGCTCAAAGTAGACAAGATGTTGCGTGTTTACATTTGCTACAGGTCTGGTTATACAGTAGATACAATTAGGTATGCACCAATTCATCGGCTGAACATCGGTCGGCCGATGTTTGCCTTGTTAACTACTATTGGCAAAAAAAAGGACATACGCCGATGATAGGCACGTGCTAAGAGATACTGAGACATTTCAAAAAAGTTTGAAAAATCTGCCAATGTGCACAAAGCACCCTTCTTCAGCTCTTCTTCATTTTTTATAAAATGCACTAAGAAACGTAGACGTCTGATGAATTCTAATTCACTGTAGCATTAGCAGCGCACACACACGGTGGCTGAGTGGATAGCACTCTCGCCTCTCAGCAAGAAGGTCCTGGGTTCAAATCCCGGTTGGACCAGGGCCTTTCTGAGTGGAGTTTGCATGTTCTCCCTGTGTCTGCGTAGGTTTCCTCCGGGTGCTCCGGTTTCCCCTACCACTAAAAATATGTACAATAGTTCTGGCATGTGCCTCCTGTACTGGCACCCCCACTCCCAAAAATAACAATTGTAAACCGCTTTGAGACTCCGATGTGCAGTGAAAAGGCGGTATATAAATAAAGATTACTACTACTACTACTACTACTACTTACATGTCTGCTCCTCTGCTCACACAAACACACTTGTCTGCTCCTCTGCTCACACACACTCGTCTGCTCCTCTGCTCACACACACGCACACACACACTTGTCTCCTCCTCTGCTCACACACTCACACACACACACACACACACAAACACGCTCTCGTCTCGCACATTATGAGCAGGTGAACGCATGCATCCATCTCTCCCTCTACATCACTCCCGTCTCTTTCCTCCTGTCTGACTCACTCAAGTTATTTGAAAGCTCCGTAAAGTCTCTTAAGGACCCCGCGCTCGCGCCCACCTGTTTACAAATTGCTTTTTGGTAAAAAAAAAAAAAAAAAGTGACATATACTTGTAACAGTGTACTTTTGAACAAACAAAAAAAATCACAGAGGTCCATTTACAGTGGGGATTTTGTTATAAATAACAAAAAGAAAAAAACATTGGCCAAAAATCGGCCATTGGCCAAGTTGTTATGTTAAACATCAGTATCGGTATCTGCCCAAAATTTCCCATTCGGGGCATCCCTAGATACAATAGCAGTTATTTATAATTACTATTCCAAAATGTGCGTGCTGAGGTAAAGCTGAGGCCCCGACTCCACCGGGCGCGTAAAACGGACGACGGATCCGTCCAAACATGTCCGTTTCATCTCCGTCTCCGTTATCTCCATGAGAGTGAATGGAAGTGGCTCCACTCCGTCTGACGCACGTCGGACGTATTCCGTTAACGGAGGGTGCAACGGACGCGGACGGACGAAATAGAAACAATCCTATTTGTTCCGTCCGTCGACGCGTGTCGGGTCCGTTTTCCATAGAAAATACAATGGAATAATATATTTACCACATTATTAAACATGTATTGATATAAGCTGTAGTCCTTGGTTATAAGTATTTGTTAATGACAATGATTATTAACAAACCTGTGTAATTTTCTTCATGTATTAATTTAAATAATTGTTTCCTGATCGTAAATCTACCATTTATTTTTCGCGTAATGTTAATACGCTAATCTTTACATACACCTCACTCTTTTTTCTCTCGCTCTGTCCCGTCTACCTCCGAGGCGCTCTCTCCTCACCGCCGCGCGCTCCCACACAGACACACACACACACAGAGACACACACACACAGAGACACACACACACAGAGCTATACTGCACTTATGAAAGACAGATCTCACAACAACACTGGAGTTCTTTTCTCCTTTCTCTCTCCACTTTTTCCAATTGCTTTCAATAAGTTTTGCCTCATTCATCGCGACGTCCTCAATGCTTCAATATGCTGTGCTTTGCATTGATCATAGCCACAGCTTATACACATCACACACCGCTTCTTCTATTTAAAACTATAGCGGCTGCCTGTTGCCTAAAGCCGCGGAGAGGCGAGTTGGGTCCGATAAAAGTGTATGACGCGCTAAATAAGTATAGAAAACAAACGAAGGATCATTATGGATCATAATAAACGTTGCGGGCACGCACGCGCACGCGCACGCACACACACACACACACACACACACACACACACACACTTCTCCATCAGCCAAACATTCATTCATTCACACAATGCCCAAACGTGTCTCCTACAAAAACAAAGCAGGCTGATAAACGGACAGCCAGAGTTGCGCGCTGCTGCAGCCGGTTTGACCACTAGTCCGTTTTACGGACGTCTGACGGACTGTAGCCAACGCGCGTCAACGGAGACGCGCCCGGTGGAGTCCAGGCCTGAGAGGCGGATTTGAAAGCATCACAAGTGTAGACTTGGACAAGCGTGGTCAGGCCGGTTTGGGAGCAAAGCCGAACAGAATCTGTTTTTCTGGTGTATTGTAATTTTTTTATTTTTCGCTAATGATTTGAATCCATAATTTCTAGTTTGATACAGCACTTGAATTAATTTGCATACACATGGTGCTATGCAAATAACAATTACAGCTCAAACTTGGTGACATGCTAGAACTATACACAGAATGCACAACATCGCCTCAATCCTCTGTTTTATAAACACTTGTAAATTCCCCAGTCCTAGTGACAACAAATCTTCTTGAATTTAAACATTCTGACTCACCAGGCTGCCGTCCCCAGTCCCAGGTCTCAATGATTGAGTGATGGACTGAAGTAGGAGATTCTTCCTCCTCTTTCTTCTCCTTATCGTTTGGCTCGTCTTTCTTTGGTGTCCCAAAGCAATCTGTGCAATCTTCTAAACCCGACAGGAGACAGACCAATGTTATGACAATTAACTACATGCAAACGTGATGAATGCGTCTCTCCACTCACCGGGATGCGCCGATTCTTCTCCATTGAATGATATTTCTTCATCTTTGACCATTTCATTCCACATCTCACTCAGTCCCTCTGGAGAGAACGCTCGCTGTCAAAACAATTAAAGTAAATTATTATAATGAATTAAGAAACATAGAACAATCTGTAAACTGTGCTTGTTCCTTCTGACATGTCTTTGGAACGAAGCAAATACAACAAAACATAATACTGACAAATATATCTGTTATAAAATAAACTATAATCTTTAAACCTACTGCCACAAGAATAGTTGCCAATAGTTGTATTCATGTGAAGCTGTCCGGTGAGACTTCAGACTTTGGTTTAATATAAAACTATAAAAATGCTCTGTCTCTATTCTCTCTAACACACACTCTAATCAATTAATAAATTCCTGGATACAGATGGTGATCTTGACCACCTCCATGGCCCATTTCTGAGATTTACTGAAAATGTTGTAAAAAATCTGTCCATAACTTTTTAACAAACAAACTAACAAACCCAGATGAAAACATGAGTGAGGTGATATTCCCTACAAGCAAATTCCAAAGCATGTTTGTTTGTTTACTTTTCTAAATACTACTTAATGGATGTTCAAATATAAGAATACATGTAGAAGTATTATGATACTGACCTGTAAGTCTATCTTTAGCCATTTGTCATGAAACCTCAGCTGAGCATCAAGGGAAAATGATGGAGGCGGCATCCTGCCTCCAGGCTGCAGGCGCAGCAAACCTGCAGGAAACAAGAGGAACTGTTATAACACAAGAACTAAAATAAGAACATATGCAATAATAACAAATGGCCTATACATCAGGTTATAAAAGATGCCAAGGTAATGATATCCTTTGAACAATGTTGTGATGATGGGGATGCACTGCCTTAGACAAATGGCACATCCGGTTAAACACACAGCATTATAATTATGTCACTAAGGGTGTTATTCTCCTGTTTGGATCACATCAGTCAACCCGCATCTAAAAAATACGTCAAACGAAAAACAGTATTTCAAGGCTACACTACAGGATAGGCCAATACTAGACAGTACCGCAGAATAGAAGTTAGCTTATCATACAAATTAGTTTCTATTTCTAATAACAGCATCCCAAGTATAGCAGCTGGACACTAGTTACTAACTAAATACTGTATAACCAGAGGCTAACAAGGGCCTATTTCGTTCTTAAAGGATGATGATATATCATACAGTGTGTAATAATAAAATAAAAACAACACTATCGGTAGAAAGAGCCTCATACACTAATGCAGCATCTTCTCAACACTGTCAACAGCAGGGACAGGCTGTAGCACCCAGCTAGCGTTCGGCTAATGCTAAAGCTAAAGCTAAAGCTAAACCACCCAGTGCCTGATGAACAGAGACATGACACCAGGAAACTTAAATCAAGTCATAACCCGAGAGAACACACAGACAACGCCGTTCTAGGTCAAGTGCAAGATAAATGTCAGAATTACCTGCGGCCTCTGCTTATGCTATTCTTGTCCCTTCAGCTGCTTTGGTGCATAGGTCTTCATAATGGATGTGATTGGCAGAGCCTGCACTGTGCACGGGACATCGCTGGAGGAGGAGGCCTCGCGATTCGTTTTTATCACTGTTCCGCTGATAAAGACTTTACATCGCAGTCCGTAATGAACACTGCAGGCTAGTCTCCGCACTCCACCCGCATGGAGAAACCGTTACAGCAAACCCAGCGCTCTCGCTGCTCCAGGGGAGGGACGAAGGAGGGGCGGGGTTGTGTTGAAGCGATCAACACTGTCCACTAGAGGGCAGTGCGCGCGCCTCTATTTTCAGTTGAGATCAGACGACGTACACTCTATCGTGTGTATGGAGTGGTATGTGGTGGACTGTGGTGGACTGTGTAGATTCAGGTTCAGTTTATTGTCCATTTGCAGTATAACTGCATTGGAATACAAGTTACAAAAGTACAAGAAACAATTGTCACTGTGAAACCAATAAACAAAAACAGCTTCAATAAGAAGTGCAAATTATTATTGTGCTAAATGTCCAGACTAATAACAGCTTATGTTACATTTGGTTTCAGTAAGATTGACCAGGGTGGGCAAAAAACTAAGTTAAGTTAACAATAGCTATACTAATTAATATAAAACGAAATCTCTAACTCTATCTTATCTTGAAATAATAATATAAAGAAGTGTAAACGTTTTATAAATAGGATAAGAAAGATTAGAGGATAGATATTGTTATAAAAATACAGTTATGGTGAAAGAGTTAATCAATATTGTCAAGTGGAGGTGTATGTATTACAGTCATAGACTGTAAATATTAAGTTCCAGTGCATGTGTATTGTTTATATTTATATATAATTAGAAAAAATATCAAGAGTATTCACACATTCAAGGCAAGGCCAGACACGTTTATTTGTATAGCACAGTTCATACACAAGGCAACTCAAAGTGCTGAAAAAATCAGAAACAATAGCGAACTATCTGAATGACGTCACTAAGACACGCCCCCGCCGCCTGTCAACTGCCGCCCACATGTTTCGGACAAACACTGCCAAAATGAATCAAATACCTCTTGTCACTTTAGACGAAAATGATAAACCAGGGGCAAAATTCCACCATCAAACCATCAGGGATCATAGTGTAGACCAATTAAAACGTTGGCTTGAATGTCGTGGTCTTCCAGTAACTGGTAGAAAGTTTGATTTGATAAAAAGGTAATGGTGAGGATTATGCTAACATTATCTAGTCATTTAAATTGCAATGTTAGCGCCTTCTTTGTTTATTTTGCTCTGATTAACTTCCATTTATCAAGTTGTTTTTTGTACTGTCCATTTCGTAATTAGTTTGATCATTTAGTTAACTACAGTCAGCCGATATTATAATAGATCCATGGGGTCACAACGGGCTACACCACTACTGTCTCTGAGAGAGAAACTATCGGAGCTAGCCACACTCGGTAAACGCAAACGACAATCAATCAACATATTTAAATGTTAATGCTAGAATATAATATTCATACAACACACGTGCACAGAGGTTTTCAGAATTATCTGTTAAGGTTTTCATGACAAAAATACTTTTTTAATGCGACTAAAGCGATCGCTTTTTTAAAGTAGGTGAACTAAAACCTTTGGGAACTATTTTCTTTGCACTCATTAAATAAACCTTTTGGCATGAATAGTGACAGAAGTTTATTTTGTGTGTTCAGTTGGTACAAAGCCGTATAATAAGCGGACCCCAACGCGCTTCGTCTGTGCTTATTTTCCGATAGTCACGAAGTTGAAAAAATCCCTCTCATCTTTCTTCAGGTGTGAGAATTGTATACATTCTGGATTAGGACAAACAATACTAATATGGATTGATGGGGCTAACTACATTCAGAAGAGCTCAGACGGACCTGATACAGCGGTCCAGGTCCAGTCCCAGCTAAACGTAGCTAGGACTGGATCTGGAGGCTCCACAGTTGGTCCAGCGAAGTGTTTTGAAAAAACATGTCCTTTTTAACATTTTCATGAGAGAAATTCTGCTGACCACAAGCACCCACCTCTTGCACTTGTCCTGGTCTGGTCCTGGTCTGGTCCTGGTCTGGTTCGATGTTGTGGTTTAACGAACAGGTTGAATGTTACTGCTTTCATATAGTCCTTTTCAGAGTATCTGAAATCGCTCCCACAAGCACCATAACTGCAGTGTTTTGTTGTCACCATGATTCAATGATTTAGCCCAAATAAATACACACGCTTATGTGGAGAACACAGTAGTACTCAACGGAGTCGGACAGAGTTTGTCCGAAACATGCGCGCATGCGCAGTCATTGGAACTATTTTTAGCACATTTCGGAAACCGGACAGTGCCCTATACAGGGCTTAAATTCATAAATGATTACAGTTAATTAAAAAGAGTGAAGATACAATCCTTCAGTCGTAAGCACAGCTAAAAAGAACAGTTTTGAACTTGAAATTAAACATTGTCAGAGAAGAAGCCTGTCTCACATTTTCAGGAAGACTGTTCCAGATTTTAGCGGCATGAATCTGAAATGCAGCCTGCTTATTTCTGACTCTGAGCACACGCAGGTGGCCTGTGTCTGTGACATGTCACAGATGTACTTTGGTGCGTGGCCATGGAGAGAGCTGCTTTAAAGTCTATGCTCTGAGCCACGAGATGAACTCTAGGATAAAGTCCCACTTGTTTCGATCTGGAGTCACGCATGCGCACTGCGGCACTTCCCACTTAGTCTTGATTGTTAGACTGAAGCAGACTGAAGCAGATTGTCAGACTGTGTGTTCTGAACAACTCAGTCAAATGCACGAGTCTGTGATGCAGGAGTCTGCGCCAGTGGTTGGAATCACTGTAGCGATAGTGTCGAGTTTAATCAATGGTTCTACTTTTGTGCTACAGAAAAAGGGGATTTTACGATCGCGTGAGAAAGGTGTGTGTTCTGAACTATTCTGAGAGGTACAGACGTGGAGAGAGAGTGGAGAGGTCGCAGTTCATCATGTGTCTTTGTGTGCGTGTGTTTGTTTGTTTGTTATCGTCACAGGAGCCTCGTACCTCACAGATGCGGTGTGGTGGAGTGGCACGCTGACCAGTGAGTACAGCGACACCTACTGGTTTAAAATGGCATTAGTTAGTTCGATTCGATTTCAAAAATGCAGAACACAATTTCACATGACCTCACACTGAAGCAGTTTTGAAAAAAAGTTGGATGAAGCAGGCACTTTTTTTCCCCAACACCCTCTCTCCCATCAAACACACACACACTACAATAATGTAAACAAATACACAAGCAAGGCAAGGGAGGTTTATTTGTATGGCACAATTCATACACAAGGCAACTGAACAAAACCAGCTGGAGACAGTCACACAAGGCCATTCTCTGCGCTCCCCAGAGTCCGAGTTGGTTCATATGGCACTTACATGTACTGCACTTACTTTGGTGCGAGGTTATGGAGATGTAATCTAGTATAGATCTGTAGATAAATCTGGTGTACACTGTCATTATCTCTGAGGGTTTAGATCTTAACAGTGATGTAACTAATGTACATGTTAGCAGCATGGGGCTCTGGGCTCAAAGAGACTGAAGTGACAGATGACATATGTAGCATTAGTCCTTATTATGCATCCCCATTATTGCACATACGTGTGGTCAGGTCAGCAGCTTTTTAGTTGAGATTGAAATGAACTGCTCTAGTCCTTTCAGAACAAAATCCAATCAACACAGTTTTCCAAAAGTCAGAACAAAGAGGAGGAAGGCCATGTTTGCGGACCGCACTTTGGGAACCACTGCTTTAAATTCATTTAAACTATTCTCATGATGGAGCCTCTTACAACTTTCTCTGTGTCTTGTATTTCAGTGGTGATTGGTCAGATCGGTAACTTTGTGGCCTACAACATTGCACCTGCAGTCATCGTGACACCTTTGGGAGCACTTGGAGTATTGTTTGGGTAGGTTTCAAAGCAAATCATTGAAAATATAAATGCGTTATAGTTTTGATCAAAGCCTGTGTGTGGTGGTCAGGTCGGTGCTGGCGTCCTGGGTCCTCCATGAGCATCTGGAAACGCTGGGGAAGCTCGGGTGTGTGTTGTGCTGCAGTGGAGCAGTGGTGCTGATCATTCACAGCCCCAAAGCAGAGACGGTGACATCACAACTGCAGCTGGAGGAGAGACTATCAGACCCAGGTGACTGGTCACTCACTGCAATGTTTAAGATTAGAGATTTATGTCATAGTCCATCATTAGTTTAGTCTTTATTTGAAAGGGACCGTGCACAGCCACATTGCAGCAAGACGAGGCAAGTTTATTTTTATAGCGCAGTTCATACACAAGACAACTCAATGTGCTGAACAAAACAGGATAGAAACAATCACACAAGGCATTAGAATCATAAATAATCCCAGTACCACCACACCTCGCACGTACAACATCACAGAGACCCTCTCATTCTCATCATATGAAATCACTCACCATAAAAACAGTACAAATCAATAATTATAGTTATTGCTTCTTCTTCAGCTTATTAAAATATGTTTTACATGAGCAATCCCAACAGGTGTCCACTGGAATTGTATATTAGCTTCCCAACATAATTGCTTGTTATTTAGTATATCTGTAGTATTTATCTCTTTTATCTCTCTGTTTAAACCATAGACCGTATATATTAACGGACAGAGTCACGCCTATCTCCGCCATTCATAGGAGTTGGCCATGAAAAGTGCTTTCATGGAGCAATCCAAGATGGCCGCGAGTGGTCCCGCCCACAAGAAAATTGTGAAAAAACGCATCTGCGCATGCGTCAGCCGGCGCAGCTCCATACATTTGAACGAGAGACTTCAAAAATAAACTAGAGTAAACTAGAGTGGACCAAAAAAATTCACCCCCCTCAGCATTGACACACATGTGGAACGGAGCTTTGAGCCAAGAGCCAACTTTTGGTCCATCCTGTAAAGATGTTTTTGAGAGGTCTGCCAACACTATATGTTAGCATTGGCTAATTCTACTTCTGGGTCCACCCCCAACGGCCCGGGGTGGTATTGCAAGCATGTCAGCGCACGTCATTTTGACCACTTTTGAGCTGGGATCCTCCCCCACTGGTTTAAACCCACAGTTTTATAAGAGGTTTAAGCGCATACTTTTATGTTACTGTTTTTTAATGTATATTGATGAATTGCATTGCCTTTATTTTTTAAGCCTTTTGATTTACTGAATTTACTTGTGAAGCACTTTCTATTCAGTAGAAATCAACCCTTGGCTTATTGCGGAAGAAGAGACTCAGCTTAAAAATAATACTAGTAATAACAGTAGTTTGTATGCCTCAACAGAAAAGAGTTTTGACAATGTTAGTTTGTGCCCCAGGGCAGCTGTGGCTACAGTTATAGTTCCCCACCACCGAGTGAATCAACAATGGGGCGTTATAAGTCATATGCATTATTAAAATGTGAACAGACCATTTTCATCTCATCAGAAACATGTTATCTTTAGTTTACTTGTGAGAAAGAGCTGTGTGAGGCCTGGCTGGTTATCTCCTGTTCCCTTTTTTGTCTGAAAAAGCTGTTAAAAAGAAGTGTCAGAGGGCAAAAACATAAATAAACATAAATGTGCAAACATTATCAGCACACTAGACAGAAGTGGTTTGGTGGTTTGCAAATTAGTCTCAGCTTTAAGGCAAGGCACATTAGAACACAAAAACCAAAATGATTAAAGCTGCCGTACCTAACTTTGAAACCACAAAAAATCCATGTATTATCTACTTCTTTGCTTTATAAACTGTTCTATCACTTGTTTTGACATGCATTTTGGCATTTATATTTTTGATCAACTTGTTCAGCCCTCTCTCAGTGTATATAAGAGTGAATACTTTATTATAAGAGAAAGACAGCATTTGGGGGTGGGAAAAGACAAAAAATGTGACGATTCGATTATATTGTGATATTTGAGCCACAATTCAATATTATTGCGATACAGCAAGTATTGTGATTGTAGACAGCATGTTGGGGTCTAATTTGCTCACTAAAGTCGATACAATTTATTTTTGTGCAGCCCTAAATCACAACAGCAGTGGTCTCGGAGTTGATGATTCAGGATCAAACAAACACATAGGAGCCTTTGGTCCATAGGAAACGGGATGACCACTGTCCAGAAATGATAATAAAAATCCTGGATTATCACTGTCCTTCCATGTTAGTAAAGCAGTCTTTCTGTTATGGATGAAAGAAAGTTAGGTACTCCAGCTCTAAAACAACTCAAAACATGACAGATTGTTGCTTGTTTTTTTAATAATAATAAATAATATTAATAATTGTTTCTTTTCCTTCACACAGTCGTTATCCTCTATGCCTCGCTGGTCACCGTGGCCTTATTGGTTCTTATTTTCTGGCTCTCTCCAGTCCACGGCTCGTCCAACATTATGGTCTACGTCTCTATCTGCTCTCTGTTTGGCAGCTTCACCGTCCCCTGCAGCAAAGGACTTGGCTTGGTCGCACAAGAAGCTTTCAGTGCAAGACCTTATAATGAGAGATTTTTGGTTATTTTTCTATTTTTACTTTTTACTCTACTGGTCAGTATCCTCACCCAGTTTTTCTACATCAATAAGGCACTGGAGGTGTTCAATTCTAACATGTTTGAAGCTATTTATTACGTGGCCTTCACCTCTACTGTCATCGTGGCCTCGGCTATACTCTTTAAGGAATGGACAGCGTTGACAATAAGTGACAGTTTAGCTCTGGTTTGTGGTTTTTCGACTGTTTGTGTCGGAGTGGCATTGCTACGCGTTTCCCAAGAGGCAGAGCTTACCTGGAAGTCAAAACCACAGAGGAAGAAGACAGACTAAAATATTCACATGACTTTTGCCTCTGTATTCCTGGTATACTTGAATTATTCAGACAAGTCCATATGTACCTGAGCAGGAGAATGTTAGTCTCTATGTAATTACTGTAAAGTTTTGGCACAATTCAATGTATTTCTGTCCTAAATTGCAACAGCCTTAGTTTCTGAGGACTTTGCAAAGTTTCAGATTCACCAACAAAAGAATCAAGAATCAGGAAATGCAATAATAACAAACACACAGAAGTCTTGGTCCATAGGGAGCGGGATGACCACTGTCCAAATGTTAATACATGTCCTTAAATGTCCCAGATCATCACTGTCCTTAGACCCTCCTGCATCGGTAAGAAACGACCAAAGAAAAAACAGTGGGAAAAAGGAGAAAAACCTCAGAGAGACTCATATTGAGAGAGGGATCTGCTCCCACAAACGGACAGGCTGTAGATCAAGGAATCAAACTTGTTAGATCACTTCTTGGATAGTTCCTTTCAAACCAATATTGTTTTTTTTAAAAGCCGCAATATGTTTAGTTAGTATATTTTCTTTTTGATCATCTCAGTGAAACTCTGCACATCCCTTCTGAACGTTCACATGTTTCAATCTCACCTCTTTCATTTTCCTCTTTTATCTTACATGGTATTTAGAAAAATATATATAAACCCCATTTACCTAGCCTGGCCTTAGCCATCCGTACGTTCAATCATCATTTGCATGTAACGTCTGGGTCTAGTCCCCATGTTAGCGATTACAATCGGTTGAATTTCGACCGACCATTCAGAGAGCGCGGAAGGCAGGTGTTGTAGTTAGTTGTGGGTGACGTCAAGAGGTTGCATCGAACAGGCAGGTTGTAGTTTGGTAATGGCGAAAAATGCGATGGTAAAGTAATCCGGTCTGGTTCTATCAAGAAATTGAAGCCGGAGCAAGAGGAATGTTTAGCAAATGTAATCGCTGGAAAAAATTGTGGCGCTACTCCCCAAGAGGCTCCGTTAGCGGCAAAGGAGATGGCTAGGCTAAATGCTAAATGCTAACAACAGAATTGGGCGCACTACATACGTCACGGTAAACTTAGATCCAATCGTTTCAATCTGCAAAAGGAGTTAACCCCTCCCACCTGTAAACGGAGCTCAATGGAGCACGCCCAGACCTTAGTACGAAATGTACTTTGTACTATAGTGTGGTACGACCAGGCTACCATTTACCTAATGTAACTAAGGTTCTATGAATATGTTGCGAAACCCTTTAGGCTATTGCCTATCTCTCAGGAGCACCGTTTCCTGCCCTGAGATGATCAATCGATTAACCACCAATCACCCTGACCTCCTGGCGTAGGCCAGTCCCCTATATAAGGGCCCTGCTCCTTGGCTCTTCTCTTTTCGAACTCAGCCAAAGACAAGAGGGCAGGCCTGCTGGGCCCGAAGCTAAAGGGCGTCGCAACATAATCATAGAGCCGTTGTTACATTAGGGTTTCTATTTCATATATTGCTTCAACCCTTTAGGCTTCGCTATTGCATAACATTGCAAAGCCCAGACCAATGTACTCCCAGCAGGCATGAACTCCGGTGATTGGAGCAATCCCGGGACCGATGTGCCCATACCGCACCCAAGCAGCAAAAGACGGAGGTCCATGAGCCACCAAAATTGGATGCTGGGCCACCTCTCCCAAGAGTGCCAGCGCATCCCAATCTGCAGGAAAAGGAAGAACCAAACCTGGAGAGGCAGCCTCTCCCAAGAGCGCCTAAAACCCCAGGTCAGTGACCAACAAACCTCACTGCAGAAGTGACCCAGCTGTCTCTCTTAAGAGTGCCAAACGACAACCTTTCCTCCATGCCGGCCGCCACACCAGGTGTGCCCTAGGAGGAACTAGGGCGGCCCTGCACTCAAAACCGAATGAGCAACACAGTCAGAGGCGACATCCATTAGGTAAAACTGCTCAAAGGTCAAAGAGGAGGACCAGAGCAGCACCCTGATTCCTGGTACCAAAACCCACGAACAACATGGAGTCCGCCGCTCATCCTCCGCTGAAGCATGCGAGGAAGAGAAAAAACTTGGATAACCGGGTTAAGCCATAACTCCATCATGCCCTCCCGACCGGGGAGGGATAAGCAGGGTTGCCGCATGGAGAGGGCGCACAGATCGCCAGACCTCTTGGCCGAGGCAAAAGCCAACAGCAATGCCATTTTGTAAGACAAACAGGCAATGGTTGCACTGTTCAAGGGCTTGATCAGGGCACCCAAAAGGCCAGACAAGACCACCCGAAGGTCCCAAGATGGAGTCGACCCTAGTGGCGGCCTGATCTGGCGTACCCCTTGGAGGAGCACTTGCTAAAGGGGTGGCTATGTGCAGAGTGGCTGCCAAACCCCACACGCCCATTGGTAATGGACCACATAGGGTCCAAGCCCCTGTCCACACACCAAGAGGTGAAGAGTTTCCAGCAAACATTGTATGCGCCGTAGGCCAGGTACTCGCCCCGCCCCCCCGTAGACCCCTTACGGGAATGCGAGGCAGGCCACACATGTGTTGCTGTCCTCCGCGACATGACGCCACCCCATGCAGGAGACGTAGACTTCGTGTTGGTCAGCTAGGAAGAGTGTCAGGGATGAACCAGACAGAGACGGATCGTGGTGCGCCAAACTTGCTATCTAGTACTAACAAGAGCAATGCTGGAAACAAGTCGCAGATCTGACACCGGAGGGTGACATGATCTCAGTCGTTGGAGGAATCTTGTTTGAAGACATCTCAGCACAGATCAAAGCTTCTCTTAGGCAAGCTGAGAGTTAAAGTAGAAGAGCTGTGGAGCAAGGTCGTTATATAGGGGACTGGCCTACACCAGGACAACAGGGTGATGGGTGCGGTTGATCGTTTGATCTTCTCAGGGCGGGAAGCGGTGCTTTCGAGAGATAGCTAATGGCGAAGCCTAAAGAGGCGAAGCAACACATGAATTAGAAAGTTTTGAGCTAATTCCTTAAAGAAACTTAATAAAAGTAATAGTATCTTTTATTATTATTATATTAAGATTTTGTCGCAGACACGGAAAAGCCAGGAGGTGAAGTCAAAACCAGGACCTTCTTGCTTTGAAGCACAAGCGCTAACCATTGTGCCACCGTTGTAAACCGAAATGAAAATTTTCACTTGGAACTGCATTTTGAAATAATACTAAACTGCTTTTCCCATGGTCAGTCATGCTTTAAGAACCAAAATGTAATTGAATCAAGGTAAAAACCACTACATTCAAGCATTAACAATTTTGCAAATATGTAATTTATCTCATGATTAAGCCGCTTTCTCTGATTGCAATTGATTGAGACATTCCTTGGGAACAAATACAATTGTAGAATAGAATAGTTAATATTTATTGTGATTACTACAGCGTACGTATCCTTTCCCCTTGTTTGCATATTTCTTTAAATATGACCCCAGGGATCTACACTTTAACATAATGTATGTTTAGTAATTTGTTTATTGAAATTGTTGAATAAATGTAAAGAACTGTCTCTTCTGAGTCCATCTATGTGTCTTATATGATGTCCTAAGTATCATTTAGCCTATGCTAACTTATTCATTAGTGTCAGGTCCCGTTAATTATTAAGGATTTTCAAGAGTCCAATGGAAGTCAATGGAAACAGTATTGTGATGCTCTACTATATTATACCGTCATTTTCTGCCATACAACTCGTTTTCATTGCACTACTGAACTTTTATCTGCCCTAACTTCTTATAGCAAGCGGCTAAAATTTGTTTCCAAAGTGTGAGTTCAACTTTTACATGGAATCATAAGAAAAAGGGAATTATTCTTTTTTTTTTCCTCAGGCCTACAACAAATAGACATACACCAGTTGATAAAAAGCGCAAAAGAATGCTTTAGGGGAAAAGATTGAAGATAAGTTTTATCATGCCTCTAGTATTTTTTTCGTGTCTACTATAAAATGAAAACACAAAACAAACAGGACATAATTTTATGTCTAACCTGTTCTTTGTTGATGGTAATAGCAGCACATTATAAACTGCTTTGGCACAGGCTCACAATAGGCCTTCAGTCTGTTTTCCACTGCTGTGGGCCAGAGCATTTTTACTCATGAATTGGACTATTCTTCAGAGTCTTGTTGCCCCTCCCAGTTACACTGTTATAAATACACATTACTTTTAGCCCAATAAATTGGCAATCCTTGTCAAGACTAATGAATAATAATCAGGCACAGCTTTATTTTCATAATTGAATTAGTCCAAAATTGTATTATATGAATGAGTTTTGGCCCTAGAGCCATGGGGTGTATGTTGCTTAGTAACATCCCTGGTGTGATGTCATCAATCACAACCAGGAAGTAAAACCATTAATACTAAAAACAAAAACAAAAACATGGTTAAACTAGAATTAAATGTGTACAGCCTTTAATACAATAACGTGAGCTGTTTGCTCTGCAAAGTTTAGTCAACCCTGCCAAACACACTTTCAATAATCATTAATTATTTGCTAGCTAGTATGTTATTTGGTAGCTCGTATGTTTTGCCTGCAACTTTAATGGGCACGCTCTTGGCTGTGTATGTGATGTCAGCACTGATGCCAGAGTAGAGCTTCATGAATAAGTGAATGATTCGCTCCTCTGTCCTGGGAGTGAGCTGTTTGCTTTGCTGCTGAGTAGATAATACAAACAGGAGCCGTAGTTTGGTGGACTTCAGTCTCCGGAGGGGCACGGCTCTTGGGCAGTGTGTGGCACACACGGAAGAAGAAGCATCGCCGTGCGGGCGTCACTGTCACCGCGCTGTGCTTCTAACCCAAATACACACACAAAGCGATGTAATTCATGGATATTTCTATGTTGTGAGAACAGGCTTTTAAGAGCTGCTTCAAGGCTCTCTGACGCCTCTGGTCAGGTACGTGTTGGTCTTATGATTATACTAGCTAACTAACGCGCTAAGCTAATGTGGCTAGCGACATGACGTGATCGGCAAGATTATTTTTTTCATGTGACGAATGCCATGCAATAAACTTAATATAATGTTCCCGAACCGAAAACTATACAATTTAACGATAGATTTTACGTACATTTAAAATATTTGAGGGTTGTTAAAAAGCAGTAAGTACTGCCTGATTATGAGGGCTATCTTCCTGGCCAGAAATATCTATTAACATGTTTTTTTGCTATTTATTTGATTAAGGTCAGGAAAAGTTAATATATTGATGTTAGGGTCAGGCTTGTTTACTCACGGACGAAATGCCTAGATTAGTCCCCTGTCTGAGGTTACTGAATGGCTGCTTCCTGGATGCACGCTATGGCTACATCATTTACATAGACGCTCATTGAATTCACAGGCGAGTTTCTCAACATATCTGTAGAACAACACCCCAGATCAGACAATTGGGCTGTCTGTCTTTGCATATGCACCAGCACAGACCAGCTGTTGTTTTGTTCTCAAGAATAAATGTAGCTGGATATTTGGAATATGAATTTCTCGCTTGCTCCAGTTTGTAGACTCGACTGTGGGAATGGTATGTGTTTTTGTTTAAAATTGTAAATCTCCTAATGTTTAGCTGTCTAGCGAAATTGATAAACCTATTCTCCTAACAAAACATCTTCATTGCAAATCCGGATGCTATACATTTTCAACTTTTCTTGTTATGTCTATATTTGACTTGTATATGACACGTATGATCATCATCTACAACAATATCCATAAATGACCTAGTTCATAACTAGGTTAGCTATGTAACTTGCTGGACCACTTCCACAATGATTAATTTTTCTGTTTTGGTCCACGTCTGTTGTGAGTGATGGAGTATTATATGCAATGTTCTGTTGAATTGTCAACTACAGAATCTGTGTAGTGTACCAATGTAAACCAGTTAAACACAATAATAATTTAGATTCCTCTCGAGTGATTTAGATTTGTTTGAAATTGATGGGATCTTAGTTAACCAAAATATGTATTAGTAAAGAATATAATTGGGAAAACTGCAAAAATTAAGTGATAGAACAAGATTTGGATTTTTAAGGAAGAAAAAACATGACATAACATTTTAATTATAGCTACATTGTGTTCTTGTGTTTTGCATGGAGTCGCATGGAATTTAAATCTAGTGAGCAGGTCAGATAACAGTAATAGTTTTGAGGGTGGCCCAGTATCTGTTTGGGCAATAATTTATGCAGTGTAGACCGGCCCTCAGTGATCTATAGCTGGAAACATTTTAAACAGTATCATAAGGCAGGGGCATCAAAGAAAGCTGTACTCAATTCAATAAAATAAATTATTTGGTAAAAAATACTGTCATGATTGATTTAGTGGTTTAATTATCTGCATGCGCATAACAAGATACAAGAATTTATTTGCTATTTGCAGTAAAACCACAATAGAAAAACTGTGCAAGACTACCCCAGTCTGCACCAGGTAAAGCTGTTTCTGTCTATGATGTTAATATATTTCGCAAACACACAAACCCATGATAAATATACGCCTTTGTGTGGCCCATCTTCACCCAAACTCGACCTTTGAGTTTGAGACCCCTGCAATAAGATGACAAACACTTCATTGTTAATATACAGCAACATCCCAGTCAAAGAAAGGAGAGCTCTAAACGAAAGCGGACTGTGAGCTGTCTGTTCTGGACATTGTTTATGAATACGGACTCCTTAATTGAGCTCTTAGAATAATCAATGACTCTTCTGGCCCCTGTAAAAGCCATGTTCCAGCTTCTTCCCTCTGGCAGAAGATATCGTTGGCTGAGATGCAGGACATCTGGATATGCTAAGTTTTTTTCCACAAACTATTATCAGTCTGAACAAAGAACTTTAATGATTTTGCACTTTGTACTTAAACAAAGTGCAAAATCATTAATGCAGAGCTGCATTCTTGGCGAAGAACTTTACTCAAAAAGCCGCTAGCTTAATTCCGTTAGCATCAAAGCCCGCCCGCTACATCAGGTGGTGGTCTTTAAAAATGAAAGTGTATTTCTCTTTGAAAAGGTGTACCTGCATCATTATCATTGTATTAGATGAAAATGAATACAATGAAGATTGTTTCTTGTACTTTTTTTTCTATTATTTTTTATTATGGTCTTGTCTGGTGCACACTTGGAGCTTTTGCACATGTATTGCAATGTGGTTTTTACTGAAAATGGAAACTAAACTGAATCTAGCTCGAGCCAACACCGGTTGTACTTTCTGTTGCAGGGTTTTGGACCAGGCAGAACTGTTCCTATGGTCCGCTCCAGCACTTGTGTCTCCCTGTAAATGTGACCGGCTCCAACAGCACTCTCAGCATGGGGCAAGACCGGGGAAAGTACGACTTCTACATCGGCCTGGGACTAGCCATCAGCTCCAGCATCTTCATTGGGGGCAGCTTCATCCTCAAGAAGAAAGGGTTGCTGCGATTGGCAAGAAAGGGCTCGATGCGGGCAGGTACTTCGAGGCTATTTCTACTTGAAACAACCAAAGTGTGTTGTCTGTGTGCGTGTGTTAAACTAAGCATTTATAACTTAATTGGTACAATTTTTATTTGAACAGGGACAATAAGCATCAGACAAAAGGAGAGATGTATTGTGCCAGGTTATAGCAGGAGAGCTAGCTTACATGTTGTCCCTGAGTAGGTTGTTGTCAGAGTAAAACATAAGCAGAGGGATACTAGGGCTGTGCTATATGCCAAAAAAAAAATCATGATATCAGAAGGAAATATCACAATAACAATCATGATATTAATAACACTGGGAGAAACCTTCAAAATTGCACGACCGTATTCAAATATATAAATCGTCCAGTAACTTGCGAGTCACGGCTTGGTGTGTAAAGCGTGTGTGAGGGGTTTTTATCCTTAAAACAACAGCAGCAGACTCTAGTAGATGGTGGTGGTGGTGGTAGTAGTACAATTTTAGAAATGACTGTTGTTGCCAAGTTCCTCTGCCGCAGCTGTGATCCGCTGTTTCTCTGTCTGTGTTTTACATTTATAATGCGGTTTTGTTTCTGTGTCACTCTTTTCTTTAGCCCCATTTCCACCAGCCCTACATAACTTAACTTTACTCTATCTGGTTGTGTTTCTATTAAACTTACTAATTTGGACCAATAATTGGGACCATATTCTAGCAACCTACCCACAGCAACAGGGGTGGGAACCTAAGGGTACTTTACGATACGATACGCGATACAAAGCTCACGATAACGATTATATCACGATATCACGATTATTGATTTATTGGTCAGCAATATGCCATATGCCAATATATGGCATACATAAAATAGAAAAATGTTAAGTGAAAAAATACACTTTATTTCATGATAAATGGAATGGAGATGTGTAATGTAGCCATATATTGAGTATTGATACTGATTTAAAAAATAAATAATTCAAAATCGATACTTGCAAATGCATATCCATAATCGATCGCGGGAGAAAGTATCGCGATATATCGAAAAATCGATATATTGTCACACTCCTACACAGCAAACCAGTATCCAAGGAAATTGTTTGGTAACCATGGCTTCCAGCAGCACTCTGGCCAATCACTGTGAGTTAGAACACTTTAGTACCAGCTCGACCTGAATAGAACCAGGACTAAGAGGCACTTTGGGCAGCTGGTGTTGTTGTAAATGTGCTATACAAATAAAGCTGACATTGACATAAAGTAGGGGTAGGATAGATCCTGGTAGAGTAGTGCTGGTGGAAACAGGGCTTCTTGTACAGTTGTTTTTTTCCTGGTCTAATGACTATTTCCTCAGCTCTCACGCTGTGTGTTTTTGCCCACTATCCTGGGGCAGGGCATGAATAATTTTGGTCTTAAATGGATTTTAAAATAGACTGGAGCAGCTCTCAGCACTCCCTGTTGGTGATTGTGCAAGGTGAAAATTCAGCGAGTGAACTAACCAGTCGACCGGCTCACCTGGTTCTGCAATGCTCTGCTGTTCTCTGCAAGATACTAATCATTAACGTCCCTTTCCAAATGACCACGCATTCCACAGAAATGACATTTTCAGCATATTGCCAAACTGTGATCCGGCTCAGGACATGGCATCCAAAAATGGAAAAGAGAATTACAAGATCCTGATCAGTAAAGTGTATTTGTGTGTTCCAGGTCAAGGTGGCCATGCGTATTTGAAAGAGTGGCTGTGGTGGGCCGGGCTGCTCTCAAGTAAGTCCTGTTCCTGTAATCAACATTGTTTTACTTGCAAATTAGCAGCTGTTTGTGTGTGTGTGTGCATGTCTCTGTGCGTGTATGTGTGTGTCTCTGTGTGTGTGTGTCTCTGCGTGTGTGTGCGGCTGCTGTGTCACGCCACCTCTCCGTGTAAACCCTCACTGTTTGCTTGTGTCTTAATTGCAGTGGGAGCCGGAGAAGGAGCCAACTTTGCGGCGTATGCCTTTGCTCCTGCAACTTTGGTCACGCCACTAGGAGCCCTCAGCGTGCTCGTCAGGTGAGCTCACAGTCAGGTGTGATTAGGGTTGCTAACCCTCCCTTAAAATATGGAATTGCCCCTTATTTTAGAAAAACTGTGCGTTCCGTATTGAATCGATACAGGGTGGCTTTTGTCCCGTATTTTCAGAGCCACAGCATTTGTCTTTTATTCTATGACTGATAAGCATGCATTAAGTCTAGAGTTGCAACGGTTCATCAATGATCCGTGATCCGTTCGGTTCAACGTCTTCGGTTCGGTACAGACGTGATCCGCGGTTTGATTTATGAAAAAAAAGTTGTGTGCACGTTGTTCAGTCCACACACAGCGTGGTCACAGCGAGCAGAGGAACGGAGATGCTTGAAAGCCCCATCCATCCATTTTCTTCCCCTTAATCCATTTCTGGGTCGGGGGGGTGGCAGTCAGAGCTGCACCCAGTCCACAGAGCACCAGCCCCTCACTGATCCTCCTGCAGGTGGTGAGTCCACAGGAGCTGAGATCTTTCGGTTGGGGCTTTGGGCAAAGTAGGGTTAAGTGTCTTTCCCAAGGACACAACGACAGCAATCATCAGTGGGAGTCGTGAAGTGGGTCTTACAGTGGGCTGTCACGGTGTGTAAACACTGTGGCACAAGAAAGACATGAGTGAAAAAAAGCGTCTCGACGGCCGCTTATTGTCGCGGCATTTAAGCAGCTCCTATACGCACAGTCAGACCGGGCTAAAGTCATCTCTCCCGCGCATCCTCAGCTGCGCTCACGACTGATGCTTGGACGTCCCGCGGAACCTATAATAGATCCTTGAGCGGAGAACTTCATCGCCGCAGACTGGGAGATGAGAAATCTGGCGCTGCAGACACGCCCCCTCTACGACAGTCAAGTGTGTCAGTACAGGCACACAGCGCAGGTACTGACACAAGCAGCGGAGGAATGGAAGACAAAGGCCCAGTACTATTATTCCAGTCACAACTGATAATGCCAAAATTTTGGCATAGCTGAGGCTATCAAGTCAGTTTTAGCAGGATCTCCAGATTCTTTTTTGAAAGATGAACAGCGAGAGGCGCTTTGTGCATTTCTGGACGGGAAAGATGTTTGTACATTTTTACCTACGCTGATGACGACATAATGTTACCGGGATTGGTTCAAGTCAAACCTTGGTAGGCGGGCACACAGCGTCACTTCGCCCAATCAGCTTGAAGTATTCTGCTGCTTATCCCTCCTTTCCCTGAAAGGATTCTCCTGCAGAAGTCCCAGATTGATATTGTGGAGAACGCATTAGAGTTCTACACAATCATCAATCTGGCTCTTGCCAGGTTATTGTTTTTCATTAATTATGTTAAATAGACATAATTGGATGGATGGAATATCCATCCATTTCCTTCCCCTTATCCATTTCTAGGTCATGGGGGGCAGTCAGAGCAGGAGCCGAGTCCACATGAGCTGTGTTTATTAAAAAGACAAAACTTTTTTTTGAAAAATGAACCGAAAAATGAACCTAACCGTGGCCTCTGAACCGAGGTACGAACTGAACCGTGATTTTTATTTCAAACCGTTGAACCCCTAATTAAGTCCTTAATGGGCGGCACAGTGGCTGAGTGGATAACACTCTCGCTTCTCAGCAAGAAGGTCCTGGGTTCGAATCCCGGTCGGAACAGGGCCTTTCTGAGTGGAGTTTGCATGTTCTCCCCGTGTCTATGTAGGTTGCCTCCGGGTACTCCGGTTTCTCTCCACACGTTCTAGAGGCCACCCGCAGTACTGCAGCTTAAATTAACATGGGCTGTACTGGAGATTTTATCCACAGACCTCAATGTAAACCAAAACCTGACAGGGAACCTAGAGCTTTCACAAAGGAGGATTCTGTGTGGATAAATACAATAAAGTTGAACTAACAAACTAAGAGTGATAGTTTCCTGAGTGCCCGTAACTGTGAAATCCCTGTTCTAAATGCTGCATTGGTCTTGAGATTTGTGTGTGTGTGTGTTTGGTTTTAGCGCGGTGCTGTCCTCGTACTTCCTGTCCGAGAGGCTGAATCTTCACGGGAAACTGGGCTGCCTGCTGTCCATCCTGGGCTCCACCACCATGGTCATTCACGCCCCCAAGGAGGAGGAGATCGACAGCCTGGAGGACATGAACCGCAAGCTCATCGACCCCGGTACACCTCACACATACTGTACATTACAAGTATTATCATGTATCATTATTATTATTATTATTATTAGAAGTAGACCATTATTTAGGGCCATAGTTCAAGTTCAGTTGTCTTACTATAATCATAAAATCATATGCTCAAACCTGCAAATGACATTTAATTCAACTCAATGTATTTGATTTGAACAGCAGTCTCAGAGGACTTTACACAGTTGTAGATTCCTCAACAACAAATCAGTCAGAACAGAAATGCAATAATACAAAACACAAGGAGGTGGTCGGGATGACCACTGCCTGTGTCTGTAAACATTTTAATAAATGTCCATAAATGTCCTAGATCATCACTATCCTTAGACCAGAGGTGGGCCAGTTGCAGACCTTAGGAGGTCTCTATCAGGCCCCTGAGCCCTCCTCAGTTTATATCAAGTATAAAGATTATAAAAGCCTTCTGCGCTGCGTGCAGATCTCTGGAGTCCCATTTGTGCTTTTCGCTCTGCCGCAATTTATGGTATTGAATAATAATATATTTTTGTGTAAAAAATAAAATGAAGCCTGAGAAAAACATGAAGTAGGTCCAGCCTCAGACAGCCGCTGATGCTCCAAAGTGGCCTCGGGAGAAGTTTGCCCATGGCTTTTAGACCCTCTTACTTCCTCATAACACTTGTTTGATGTTTACTGTGACTTGTCCCTGATCAAATACTCATTCATATGTAGTTCCCCTTTCCTTCAACCCCCTCTCTCCCACACTCACTCTCTCACTCTCTCACTCTCTCACTCTCTCTGTTCTCTGCAGGCTTCTTGTTCTTCGCCGCGCTGGTCATTGTGGTGGCGCTGATCTTCATCTTCGTGGTGGGCCCGCGTCACGGTCAGACCAACATCATGGTCTACATCACCATCTGCTCAGTCATAGGCGCGCTCTCAGTCTCCTGCGTCAAAGGCCTGGGCATCGCCATCAAGGAAGCCATCGCCGGCAAGAGCGTGCTGGGCGTGCCCCTGGCCTGGTTCCTCCTCTTCGCCCTCGTCGCCTGCGTCTCCACGCAGATCAACTACTTAAACAAAGCCCTGGACATCTTCAACACGTCCATAGTGACTCCCATCTATTACGTCTTCTTCACCACTTCTGTGCTCACATGTTCGGCCATTTTGTTTAAGGAGTGGGAGCACATGGGCACGGGCGACATCATCGGGACTCTGAGCGGGTTCCTCACAATCATCGTGGGGATCTTCCTGCTCCACGCCTTCAAAGACGTGAACGTGAGCTGGTCGAACTTAGCCGTGTCCATACGGAAGGAGGAGAGAGTGAGCGCTAACGGCACGGCGGCGCACGCTAGCTACGAACTCCTGCGCAACGAGAGCATGGATGACGCGGACAGAGAGGCGGGTTTGCCTTTCGACAGCGTGTCCAGAAGAAACGGAGCCATTGTTTCTTCTTAATGTGTGTTTGTGGCGACTGTTTGTAGCAGGATTAAAGAGACAATCACTGACGAAAGCAGAGACCGGAGAATTGTATGGTTTTCATTTGCCTTATTAACAGGATAGATTGTTCCTCTGTAGCTTGTATATATTTTTTAAAGACATGTTTTTGTTTGAGTAAAGGCATATCGATGCACTGATCTGTTGTGAGTGGTTTGTGACACTTTCAAACACACTTTAGGTTCAGGGAGAGTGCTCAAAGTTCACTCCCAGTAAGTTTTCTATATAAATGAAGATTACTCACTCACACTCGTTTTCCTCCAGTGTGTCCAGTCTGAACGTGAAGATTTGGAGAAAGGGTGGAGTCTCCTGTGCTCCTGGTTGTTTGGAATGAACACCTGCAGATTTATATTATTGGTGGTGTAGCGACCATAACTTCCCCTGTGTAAAGTGTACGGTGTGTGCTGCTTCGACCAACAGACAGTGCTAAATACTGAGTCAAAATGTTTCATTGTGTCTTGAATTCAAATGTTTTTTGTGGTTCTTTTGAAAGACAAGTTTGATAGAATAGTAATAACCTTGTCTTTCACAAGAACAACAGTGATAAATACTGTATTCCATCCATCCATTTTCTTCCCCTTAATCCATTTCTGGGTCGGGGGGGTGGCAGTCAGAGCTGCACCCAGGACACTTAGCACCAGCCCCTCACTGATCCTCCTGCAGGTGGTGAGTCCACAGGAGCTGAGATCTTTCAGTTGGGGATTTTAGGCAAAGTGGAGTTAAGTGTCTTGCCCAAGGACACGACGACAGTAGTCGTCAGTGGGAGTTGTGAAGTAGGTCTTACGGTGGGCTTGAACCCACGACCTTCAGGCCCAAAGGCCAATGCTCTACCAACTGAGCCACTGTCGCCCTCAAATGTTTATTAGCATAGCTATCCAAGTACAGATCTCCCTCCATCAATGAAGGTAAAAGACTATAGTCAGATGCTGCCACCTATTGGAGTCCAGAGCAGGAGTCCAGAGCAGGAGTCCCTGCTCTATGGTTGAGGTGCAGAATTACATCAGACAAATGGCCCCAGCATTAGTTAGAATTAGGAAATGGTGAAAGGTTCAACAGTTTGAGTCGCTTCCATGACGATCACATTAAGACTTCTTCAGGAGATGAGCAACATTTGAATTAGTAAAAAAACAGACTTAATTTTAACGAACTATAACAGGTCAATAAGATTGTTTTCATGTAATTGTATGAACCATGATAGTCCTGGCCAGAGAAGGGGTGACATTCTATGGTTTTAGTGGTAGAGAAAATATACAGGCACAGGGAGAACATGCAAACTCTACTCTGAGGCCCAGTGTTCTATGAGAATGGAGACCTGACCAGGTGCCACAGAGGGAGCTGTAAAATGCTATACTGCTGCTGTGTCCTTAGGCAAGACACTTCCACACATGGATTTGGTGTCAGCCTCAAGTCACTATCACTGAATGTGATTCTCCATTTTCCTGATTCTTGTTTAAACAGATCATTAAGTCTTGGCTAAAATGTGAAGGACGTTCTGAAATAACCACGACCAACAATTATTCAGGGCAACTAATTCAGGTCTGTAATGAGTTTGGATTTGGACATTGTTGACCAGGAATGATCCATCTGCAAAAACTAAAATGTTTTACCTTTTTGAAAGAAATTCTGACTTTTTTTCTCAGGAAAAGTTCTTGCTCAAAATGAGAGAAGCTTCAGAGAATGTAACACTCATCCAAATCTCTTCCTGTATCTGCTTCTCAAAGATCAGATACTTGTGAAACAGTTTGGCCTCAATGCTTTTGTCAATTATAATGAGACTATCCATCAGAAGCACTTTGAAATAAGTTTAAGTCATAAATTGAAGGGAAGTCTGGGCGTCTGCATAGAGTGCTGCCCCTGCCACCTGGAAACTTTCATCATTATTTTTTATCTTTTTTGTACTATTATCGGATCTACTTTTTCTGCTACCGTTTCGGTTGCCAACTTTTAGCTGTGAGAGAATAGAGACCGGAGAGGAGACCAGATAGGGACCAGAGAGACCAAGGAGTGAGATCCAGAGAGAGAGACCAGAGACAAAAGACCAGAGAGAGCGAGCGAGACGGGAGAGAGACTAGAGCCATAGCCTCAAGATATAAGGTCACAGGTAGATTATTGCTGATTTAAAAACTGCTTACAACTGCCTCAAAGTCTTGTGAAGAAAACAAACTCATGATTTGTTACATATTTATTGAATTAAAATGATTGGAAACATTGGAAACACAAGGCACAGTGAATAAATGCTCAACAAGTATATAAACTTCTCAGTTAAAATGTTTTAGCATGCAGAGTACGACATGGACTTTTAAAACCCCTTAAAACAAATCACCCACTACAACAGACACCACTGCACCCCTTAAATATTCATCTATTAAAAGTCAAATATTGCTTTCATAACTATAACGTATAAAATAGTTCAACAAAATACTGATTTCTCATAAGGCACAAGTGAAAGTAAGATTTCATTCAATTATAAAAAGTGGCCCAACCTTTTGACTTGGTTTCAATGGTCCGGTTTTGTCGCCTGAATGAGCTGGAATATCTGTGTTGCTATGGTAATGTGTTTGAAAGTATTGCTGGTCCGTAGTATTTGTAGTAATAGTAGTAGTAGTAGTAGTAGTATTTGTTCAGCTGCTGGCGAGGGACTGGTGGATGGGAGGTTGAAAGCAGCGCACATGTTCCACCGGCATGTTCTCGCCGTCCCCGGACTTCAGGTACTTGTTCAAAATGGCGAAGATCTCGTCGTTCAGAACCTGGAATTTGCGGATTCGGTCGACCATTTTCTTGAGCGGCTGAAAATAAAAAACACACCATATACATGATGAGACAATTTACTTATTTACTAATTAATATCAGTAGAAAATATATGGTGCCTGCCCTGTCCCTACGCTACCACCAGAGGGAGCAGTAGTATTTGTTTTATTTTGAGTACAAATTCAAAACAGTTTGCTTTAATTACTAGAAGATACTACTGTCACTAGACTGTTGCTGTGTCCTTAGGCAAGACACTTCACTCACATTAGAGTAAGTCTGGTGTGTGTGTGAATGGTTGGTGGTGGTGGGAGGGAGGCATACTGGTTGCCTTGGCTCTGTCAGTGTGCCCCAGGGCAGCTGTGGCTATACTAGTGGTTTATCACCTGTGTGTTTGGAGTGAGAGATAATGAAATGTGAACCATCTTTGAGAGTCCAGATTGAAACTGTATAAAACCCATGCATATTATTATTATTATTATTATTATTAGAAGAAGCCAACTTGGGATAGAAGACACTCTCAAACTAGTGATGCGTCAGAACGCTCATATGTTCCTTCCCCACTTGTTACTCTGGTCCTGCAGAAGTATAGATAGTTGGAAAACACTGAAACAGTCACACCTCCAGAGCTGTTTGTTATGGATGCTGTGAAAAAGCCAGTTCTGTAAGTGCGGCTCACCACGCTCTTGATGACCTCGTCTTTGCCGTCGTGCTTCTGGACCTTGAGCAGGTGGTAGCTGAAGTCCAGGACGTTGAAGCGTCGGTGCTGCCCCAACAGAGAGATGATCATACAGCCGGCCCAGTGCAGACCGTCCCCAAAGCACTGTCTGCAGAGAGGGGAGGCAGAGAGGGGAGTCAGAGTGAAGAGTCAGAGAAGGGGGGGGGGGGGGGGGGGGGGGGGAGTCAGAGGGAGAGAGGGAGAGAAGTCAGAGAGAGGAAGAGAGAGGGGGGAGTCAGAGAGAGGAGTCAGAGAGGGGGGGGGGGGGGGGGAGTCAGAGGGAGAGAAGTCAGAGAGAGGAAAAGAGGGGGGAGTCAGAGAGAAGGAGGAGGGAGAGACCAGAGAGAAGGAGGAGAGAGGAGAGAGACTGACTGGCTTTTACAGATAACACTCACTAGAAATATCATGTTTTAAGCACGACTGTGGCTCATGATGCCTAAACCCTGGTTTTTCTGATCTACAATTCCACCTTCACTGATGAAAAAAGTGCGTTTACTCGGCCTGACCTAACATGTAGCGCCCGAAGCACGGGTAGCATTAGTTGACCCGTCGCCATTGTTGTCGTTTGTTCTCTGCTGTTGCACATGTCCAAATGTATGTGCTGTTGTGACTTAGAGATGTACAAAAATAAGATAAGAGCTCCTTTTTTTGTCCCACAGTGCGGAAATTTCAATGTTGCAGCGTACATACAGGACAGAAGTAAGAGGACACAGGGAGCAAAATATACAAAATAAGCAGCTGCTGTCTGAAGCCCAGCCCAGACTTACTCGACAGTGAACTCGTGTGCGCCCACAGGGATGCAGTAGACGAACTGCATCGCGCTCCACAGGCGGTGAAACTCCACACACTCGTCCACGTGCATCACTCCGTTACTCGGCAACGGGCCTCGCCAGATGGGGTCGTCCAGGAAGGCTCTCACTCTGGTCAGGATCACCTCGAACATGGAGAGACCGCAGCACAGGCGCTCCTTGGTCAGCAGGTCCCCCTCCCGAGCTATGGCGATTTGCTGCGAATACAAAAGCTTACAATTAGGTTCATGTGACATCACAACACCCCAGAGAGCCGGCTCTCTCTCCGGCCTCTCTCTCTCTCCGGCCTCTCTCTCTCTCCGCTTCTCCGCCTCTCCCTCTCTCGCTCCCTCTCTCTCCGGCTCTCCTCGCCCTCTCTGCCTCTCTCTCCGGCCTCTCTCCCGCTCTCTCTCCGGCCTCTCTCTCACTGGTCTGAGTACCAGCTGCAGTGGTACCTGTGGCGTCCCGAGGCGCTCGATCAGAGGGACCATGTGGAGAGCGGTATACTTTGCCTCTAAGCGCTTCATCTTTGCATCAAGACGTTCTCCGTCTGAAATCAGCAACAGCACCGTTAGAGTTTAGGAATATTCAAACATATTCTTGTGTTTGGTGAAACAGCTGGAACCACCACTTTAAACAAGTCTCATTCACAGAGGACAGACACGGACAGTTCTCGTACCTTTGACGTGGACTCTCGGGAGGATGTTTTGGAAAGGAGCAGCATGAAGCAGGTCACAGACTTCCTCCTGGGACTGAAAGACACAAGAAACCAATACTTTATTTGTATAGCAAAGTTAATAAACAGTGGCACATGACAAATAACGAAATAAATATATGTTCATCCAATTTAAAGTGACATCACATCACTCTACTATTACCTGCAGAGAGTGTGTGTGTGAGTGCATATAAAAGAATAAATAAGGTATACATATTGTATTTTCTCTTTTTAAATTCCTATACTTTTAAAATATGGACAAATTGAATTTGCGTCTGAAACAAAGTTTTATTTCAAAATTGTATCTATTTTGAGTGCTCTTGCAGTAACTACTGTGGCCACTGGAGGGAGCACAACACTCCCACAGTGCCACAAATGCATTGATGAAGTCCCAGTTTGAATGAATGAATTTAGGGAATGATGTAACTGATTCAAAGGTGAGAGAAGAGTCAGTTTTGAGTTTTTAAAGATTTCTTTTATTTCTTGTTTTTCAAAAGAAGCAGGTTACATAACTGTTATCTCAGGTCATGACTCATGTTTCTTATGTTTGTGTCACAAATGCATGGGTTTGTGAACACAGGAAACAAATGTCTGTCCGTCCGTCTCTGTCCGTCCGTCCGTCCATCCGTCTCTCTCCGTGTCTGTCTCTCTCTGTGTCTGTCTCTCTGTGTCTGTCTCTCTCTGTGTCTGTCTCTCTCTCTCTCCCCATCTCTCTGCGTACTTACCAGACTCTGCTCACTGAGGAGGCAGAAGAGCAGAGCGTTGCCGACCTCCCTCAGGTTTTGGAAGCAGACAGTTTTGAGTTCAGCGTACTCCACTATGTCTTTGAGCTGATGATGAAAGAACTCCAGAATTCCTGCACACAACGGTTCAATATCAGACGCACAAAACATAAACAGAAAACAGAGTCAGGCAAGGATCTACAGCTACAGCCTCAGTCCTGGATCTACATTTTCTTCAGTGAAGCCTCATAGCAAAACACACGTCTTGCAGTTTTATGCAGTATTAAACACAGTATTGAACACAGCTGCGATGGAGTCTCACCGGGAGAGCCGTACTCGTGACGCGGGAGCCTGCAGATCTTGGGCATCACCTCCATCAAAGTTTTCACGTACTGCATGATGGTCCCCTGAAGCTGAACAACAAAACAACACATTTCAAACAACGAACATAAAGGTCTGCAAATCTCCATAAGCACTCTCTCCTAAATTCAGGTGGGCTCCCCAGAGAAATGTCCAATAGAACTCAGAGTAAACTAAAACAGCTCAACCTCAGCTGACAGAGAACCTACAGCTTTCATAAAGGATTTTAGTGTCCCTTGTCATCCTGTTTTTTTTTCTTGTTAAATCCTACGGTTCTGCTGATGTCATGAGACAATCAGAGCTGGGTATTGAGCGCCTCAATAGTGCACTGACCGTTTTAGGGATTGAAATATGTTTAAGGAGGCTTCATGCAACTTTCTAAGGGAATAAGTTGATATTTTTGCAGACTCGTGACCCAGGGAGTGGTCAACATGGGGCCTATACTTTAGTGTATCTAATCATTCAGTGTATTTAGTTTATTTTTGTAAAGCCCTGAATCACATCCGCAGGCGTCTTGGAGGACTTTACAAAGTCATCGATTCCTCAACTTATCAGAGAATCAAATAGGAGCCATTGATCCATTGGGAGCAGGATGACCACTGTCCAGAAATGTTCATATATGTGTGGAACATCACTGTCCTTAGACCCTTCTGCATCAGAGAGGAAAGGAGAAACCTCGGACTGCATCGAGAGAGAGAGATTTGCTCCCATAGACAGACAGGCTGTAGATCCAGGACTGAGGGACTGAGGAGAACCGTCGGCATGGATGGTTCTCAGTCCTGACAAAGAACAGTGCTCTGGGACATTTATCAACATTTCTGGACCGTGGTCATCCTACTCCCTATGGACCAAATGCATTTCCTGCGTTTGAACAGTTGGATTCTCTAAAATGTGTGGATTGCCGCAGATAATGATGCAAATATTTACATATTTCCTGTAACACGTCTCTGTTTTCACTGACCAGGCTTTTGACCACTTTAAGCAGCTCCTCCATCACCACGGCGATGCCCTGGTATCCCAGCAGCCGACACATGACTTTGATGTGAGGCGGGCCCACAAAGTTCTTGTACGCTGAAAAGATACTGCTGTACGCCAGGTTCAAAGTCTGCAGAAAAAAACACATCAGTCAAAATTCTTTATAAACAAACAGAACTGGCCCCTTAAGGATGAATACAGTTGTAGGTTTCTGAACCACTAAACAGGTCTTTGAATGTTTTGTGTAGTAGGGCTGCAGGTAACAATTATTATTTAAATCTTTTTATTCATCAGTTTGCATCTTGAAACATGAACATGGTGCAGTTTGGTGTTGCCTTTTGTACTTTTTCTTTAAATATTATTGCAACTTGTCTCTTTCCTTCCTCTCATAATCCATTATTATTAAATATACATGTATTTTTTGGGTCCAAGTAATAATTACACAGTAGTGTCTACTGTGTACAGCTACAACACACACACACACACATCACACAGAATCTTAAACAACACATTTCGTTCTTTTTCCACAGAAAACAATACAGCTTAAAAACAAAATCACACGTCAGAAACCTAAACCAAAACAATATGAATGAACTGCTATCCTTTCTAGAAGCGTCTGTGCTTCTGCCAGATGTGTCAAACACGCTGCCCAAAAGTCTGATTTTAGTTTTTAGTATGTCATCCACTGATTACATAAGATTAAAAACCCATCTGACCTTTATGGACCGGCTGCTGGAGAGAGTACAATACAAGGCTCCATCTGCCAACATCATCCACTTTTTTGTTTTAAAAAGGACCAGTTTTTTGCATTTATTTTGTTTGGGTTATTGATATACTTGCCTGGTGCACACTGGGGACTTCTGCACCCGTGGTTTTACTGCCAATGGCAAATAAAATGAATGGAAGGAAACTTAACTGAGTCTTAACCACATACAATTGATCAGAGGCATTTTAGCACCCCATCTATCAAAAGGTTTTTAACAGTTTAAGTTGGCTGCTTTTTGGGCTCAAAAGGATCCCAAAACATGGATCTCAGTTTACCACTTACAGATGCCATTAAAGTCGCAAAATATACCAACACTATACAACGCTCAGTCTCCTCACTACACAACTTTGTTAAAAAAAAGCTAGTTAGCACCTATCCACTACAGTCTATGCCATCCACTGAAAGCTGTCAAATCAAGGAGGCATCGAAATTCTCTGAACCAATGAGAAGAAGGGAAATGAAACGCTTGGCTCAATTTAGAAGCATCTGCGATATACGCTCCGATGCATCAGTATCGTTAGGCGTCTTGCATCTTATTCAGCATAAAAGTTCTCATGCTAATCTCAAAAACGTGTGTGTGGATATAATTCATGAACTTCTCATATTTCTCACATATTTATAACCTACAATGAAAAAATATATTGAAAATTCAGAGGTAAAATTGTCAGGGTTTTAAATTCAAAGTGTAGGCTGCAAGTTTTGTCGACCTCACTTCACTGTCAAAATCAAACAACTCAAAATCCATGACGTTTGCACAGAAGCTTTGAGGCGACTGGCTTCACGCATCAGTCCAACTGTCACTTTGAATAATATGACTTTACTAGTTTCAGTGCCCTTTGACTTTACAGCATAAAAACAGGATCCATGCAAAGATCTAGGGCACTCTTGATTTGATACGGTTCGAAGCTGATTGATTCAGTAAAACAAAGGCTTGTGGGCTCTCAACCCAATTTTAAAGACCTTATGACGGGTTTAAAAAAAAAAAATAGTGGATATCAAAATTGCATGACAATGTCAATTTGAAAGAGATTCCGGCAAAAAAAATCCTATATTTTATAAAAAGAACGTGTTTTTCATGAATTTAAGTTGTCTATGCTCTAACCTGTGTGTGACGTCATAGCGGGTTACACCCATGCATTGAAAACCATGGATCTATGCCACAGGACTGCATTTTCTCTCTTCTCTCCACTGATGCCCAACACAATACTGCACTCTACAGGTGACAATTGCTCACTACACATAAATTGCCGTTTTGAGTGTGAAAAAGTGTCCAAGGTGGGGATTGAACCCAAGTATCTGGATTGACAGTCCATCGACAAAACCACTGGACTATCTCAGTGACAACGAATCGTTACATTCTAGTAGTTATGTTAGACTCGCTGTACACGGCCTTGTCATCTTGAATATCCGCGAAAAAAGAACAAATACCAAATTGTAAACAACTTACAGCGTTGAAACGTACCCGTTCTGACGTCACCAAGGGCTGTGAAGTTTTTTCGTTTCTAAGGGCGTTGCTATGGGGTTATTTCGATTTGGGGGGATCAGACAAAAAAAACAACAACTGATTTTGAAACCTTTAGTAGTTCTCTTCTAATATAAAATGGTATTAAAACTGTATTTCTAAATAAATCAAACCCGTCATAAGGTCTTTAAAAGAGACCAGAGAGACCAGAGAGAGAGAGACCAGACAGAGAAACGAGAGGGGAGAGAGAGAGACCAGAGGGAGACCAGAGAGAGACCTCCTTGTTAAACTCAGATTTTCCCTCGAAAGCATTTGACTTTTAAAGGGGTCATTGTTGTGAAATTTACAGTAACAACATTTTTGAATTACTTTTAACCTTAGCTTTTCAAGACACCGTTTAATCTTTTAAAACTTTCATATTTTGAACTTTAACATTTTAGCTGCTTAATTATCAACTTTTTTTCATCATTGGCAGACACCAGATCTCCACACTAAGTGCTCAGTTTTACACCTCTGTAACCACTCTACAACACTATACATGATACATTTGCTAAGTGAAATCCTGGAGAGGGCGATATGTCTACAAATCCGTCATCAACTTATAGATGATTCACGCAGCGGCTGAATCTTTATCTCTCTTCTCTCACTGTTCTCTCCTCTTTCTCTATTGCTCTCTCTCACCCCTCTCTCTCTCTCTCTCTCGCCACTCTCTCTCTGGTTGAGTTTAACCATCCCTCCTCTAATCCAGTAGTGTGGCAGGCAGCAGCGGAGCACACAGCATACAAACTAGGACAATCAACAAATCTCTTCAAAATGAACAGATTTTATGAGGTCTTAATGATGACGACTGGAGGCTGGAAGTGAGTGACACGTCTCTGCTGCTTCACTGGTAAGTCCGGCTCAATCTCAGTTTAAGATGCATGGCAACTAGTGACTGATTAGTAAACGGCACGGAGTGTTTTGTTGCCTTGTTCCATCACTGACGCACTTGCATTACGAGCTGGACCCATTTGAGTTTTATCAAATGGGAGATCAATAAGATTAAAAGATAAAAGTAGTTGTAGCCTGGACTCAGTATCACTCGTCGATATATAGCTTTTTTTGGGTTCTGAGTTCTTCAAAAGAACCTGTGAAACAAAGCCTAAAATTCAGTTACGTTGATGGGGGTTCATGCGATATAAGGCAAAGGGAGGGCGCTGGAGACAGATCGGAGACTGAAGCTGTAGACCAGGGGTCACCAACCTTTTTAAATCCAAGGGCTTGAGGGCTACTATGTATTGTTGAATGGGGAATTGTACATAACCCCAGTTTTTTAGATTTAGATTTTAGATTTTTTGGGAAATTCAACTATTATGTATTAATTTGAGTCTAATAATCAAAGGGGGGTGTTTTTTATGCTCTTATTATATGGTCACTATTACGAATTCCAGTTAAATTTGGGGTAAACTCAACAACCAATTAAGATGTAGCTCTGTAATAAAAAAATCATGCCACTAGTATTTTTGGCTTCCTTCACATTATTTGGCTTTATGTCCGCCTTTCCAGACATACTTTAAGATGTCCGTGGCAGTCAATAGTTAATAGGGTTTGATGATGTAAAAGATGTGCTATTGTCTGATTTGTTCACAAAAATCTACTTTTGGAAATGTTAAATGTTAAGTTAGGTTAAAAGCCTCCTTGGCTCAGTCCTGGCTCAGAAGACCAAAAGTGCCAAAATAATAAATATATCAATAAACAAATAAAGTCATGTTTATGTTTCAATAGATTTAATTCGAAAACAAATTCACGCATATGTGTGTTTGTATATGTCACACACAATACACATTGGTTAATCCTACTTCCAGCTGCCGAGGGGTCGGAGGCAATGCAGGAGAAAGAGGGGTCTCATTTTACCATGATAAAACTCATTCCCGGTCTGTGTCTGTGTATCATATATGTCTGTGGTTTGGCTGTAGACAGTGTTTTAATGAGCCAGCAGGTGGCAGCAGAGCTCTGTGGGTGTCTTGGTCAAAGATCAATACCTCAGTAATCTGAGCAGGAGAGACAGAGGTGAAGCAGGCATGGAGTAATATAGTCAGGGTCAGGCTACATTTGGAGGCAGTTGGAGCAGTAAATGTGTCACTAGAGCTGACAGGGACCATGTGGAGGGTCAGGGCAGCAGACCAGCAGTGCTCCCCAAAAAAAGCCACAGTAAAGTGGACTATCGCTAATACCATCACTGAGCCTACACCAGGCGCCAGCGGTAAAGTCCGGTTATCGTCACAACGCTCGCTGGATAAAACAAAATGACATTTCGTAGATGTAACCACACAAACGAACACGAACACACATATATACTATATACTTCACAATTGTTTATTGTAATTGATAGTGTTTATTGTTGTAATTTTGTTTTTCTGTGACTTACTGTTATTGGCATAAATATAGCGCCACCTAATAAAGGAATAATGACCATTCCTTCGGTGAGCCGCTGAGGAGAGCGCTGTGGGTTTACACTGTCAGAGCAGCCTGACTGTGTTCAGTGACATGTCCATGGATTAGTTCATAAAAGCCGACAGCATTGATGCGGATCATTCTTGCATCAGGTGTTCAGTTAGAGCCTTGCTGGAGCTCAGTAGTGCATGGGTATGAGCCGGGGATGAGTTTTATCATGGTAAAGTGAGACCCCTGCTCTCTCCCTATTACTCCCGCATTGCCTCAGTCCCCTCAGCAGCTGGAATAAGGACTAACCAATGGCCATGAGCCAGTGACACCTGGACATGCTTGATATATATAAAACACTTGTTTGCAATATTCAATAATAAATATAAATTGTTATTGATCATTCTAATTCATTTTTATTAATAAATTATGAACGCAACTTAATGTAAAAAAAAAAAAAAATGAAATGCTACTGTTGAAATAACATATAGCAATCATTTACGTTTGTTTTATAGTTTCAGTGACAGCCAAAAGAAACAACTTTTTCAGCACAAGAAAACATCACAAAACCAGCGTTGCATTATGGGAGTGGTAGTCTACAACGTCACGTCCACGTCAGCCAGAGTTAGCTGGCCGCGCTCTCCGGAATGCCTGGACACCTTCTACAGCGTGATGTACGACCCCAACTGGAACAGCCTCCTCATGGGCTACAAGCGTAAGAGCTTCATGCACGAGGAGCGGATCCCGGTGAGCCAGACCACCACCTACCTCGGCAACCTGCACCCTCAGAGCGCATACTTCCTGTGTGTGACGTGCCAAGCGGCCAATCCCGTTCGAGAGCAGTGCCAGGTATGAGGACTTTGTTTTTAGTGTGATTTCTATGGATGAGCAACCAACGTCCATCCATCCATCCATTTTCTACCCTTTAATCAGGGTCAGGGGGGTGGCAATCAGAGATGCCACCCAAGTCTCATAGCACCAGCCCCTCACTGACCCTCTGCAGGTGGTGAGTCCACAGAAGGACGGCTGCTCTGAGTGTGAGCATAGCCTTGATCTTTCAGTGGGGGCTTTGGGCAAAGTGGGGTTAAGTGTCTTGCCCAAGGACACAACGACAGCAGTCATCAGTGGGAGTCGGTGGAGAAGGTGCAGAGGTGGGAATTGAACCCAAGGCCAATGCTCTACCAACTGAGCTACTGTCGCCCCCGAGCAACCAACGACCACTGATAAACTTGCTAATTTAGACTGGATGAGAGAACCTTTATTTGTGAAATGTTGATGCTGCTGTGCACATAATGGACAGTTGTAAATGCACACAATGATACCGAGAGAAGTAATAATGCATTAGTTTTGTATATATATATATATACAGTATACTCATACACTTCACGTGTCATTATTCATTCACTCCACACAGTGATTAACTACTAATGCCCATGATTGCAGTATTTACTATTTACAGATGAAACTTACAGACTCGAGACTCCGCAATTGGCCTTGCAAATGAGCAAATTGTGATTTACTACATCTCCCCCATGGTTCGAACTAAGAAAGTTTTTTATCTTGACCAGAGGTGTCAAACCGGTCCTCAAAGGGCCAGTGTGGCTGCAGGTTTTCATTCCAACAGCAGGAGCACACCAGACTCCACCTATTTCCTCAAGTGAGTCCAGTCTTAACCTGAAGACTTGAGGAAATGGGTGGAGTCTGGTGCGCTGCTGCTGATTCATTCAGTTAAAATATGGAACAGTCTTCCTGAAAATGTGAGACAGGCTTCTTCTCTGACAATGTTCAAATCCAGGTTAAAACAGTTCTGTTTAGCTGTGCATACAACTGAGGGATTGTTTATTCACTCTTTTTAATGTACCATGATTATCTAGGATTTTATTACCTTGTGTGATTGTTTCCATCTTGCTTTGTTAAGCACTGCGAGTTGCCTTGTGTGTGCCACACAAATAAACTTGCCTACCTCAGAACAACGACAAAAATCCTTACAAATCCCCATATTCTCTGCCCGAAGGTCTTCAACACTTTAGGTGACGCTGGGGACAGCAGTGACCGGTCGGGATGGGAGATGGCCATGGGCGTGTGGCTGACCTGCTGCATACTGCTGCTGATCATCGCCGCCATCCTGGTCTGGGGCTGCCTCCACACCCTCTGCTGCTCCCTACCCACCCAAACCAACACCGATGGGAGGCAGGTGGACCAGAACCACCAGGAGAACTCCACAATGGGACGCTTATACACTCCCAGCAGCAGCGAAGACAGCACCAACAACAACCATGCCATGCTCAGCCCGACTCCTGCGCTAACGCCACAGAGCAACAACAGCAGTGGAGTGGACTAGTCATGATTTTAAGATGAAGAGATTCTTCATTCTTCATCACAGTGAGGAAATGCCAGTGCTGCATCGCCAGCTACAGAACAGTAGGAATGAGGAGTACACAGGATAGCTTTAGCATAATAAGAAAGAAATCTATATTCTCCAACTCAGCAAGAATTATGTACAACATCTTACTTTTTAGCATAATAAATAAGTACAAAAAAGTATATTCTTTATCATGCTAATATTCTGGCTCGCTCCCAGACATATGATCGATTAAATCCAATTTTAGCAGCGTTTTAATGACTTTTCCAGGCAGGCGCTTGAGTCATGTGATCCACAGCAATTGAAAGTTTGAATTTCTTTGTGAAGCAGAGCACATAGGGAATAGGGAGGACATCAGGACACCACTGCCGTCACAGTAACTATCCTGACAGAGTGGACTAAATGCTACACTAAATTCAAAATGGAGTAGCCTTTTTAAGCCGTCTGGGAGCGAGCCAGCATGAGCAGAGAGTGGATTGAGGTCATTATGGCATTGTTTTCTCCCATGGCACAATCGTCTATTAGTATTTTACTTTTTTCTCCATCTCTACCCGCTGAAATTAATCTCAGTCACTGCTGTATAAAAAGCTTTAAGTGGGAATTATTTTTGTCTATCTTGAAATTAGTCTTTTTTGAAAATGTGTCGTTTGGGGTGTTTCACTGAATGTTGTTCTTGTGAATAAAAAAAATATTCTCAGGAAGATTCGCAGTCTTTGAACAAATGCTGTACTTTTTTTACACATTTTGGGCGCTAGACAAATTAACTGTATTTGACCCAAGTTTGGATATTATTTTCTTGTAGGTTTGGAATCAACCACAACTAGGCCAAATATCAAGACGAGATGCATTTGAAGACTGATAGTTAAATATAAAAAACAAATTAAAACTACATTTCAGTCAACCTTTTAGAACATAATCATATGGTTGTTTTCCTGAGAAACAGTCATGGACATATTCCATAATATTCCATTACCATCAATGCTGCAAATTACTGTGATTACTGTTACTGAATACTGTTTGTCGCATGGTGCCGTAAAGATGGCGCCGTGGCAAGAGCTCTGGTGTGTGTCGTCTGGTGCACACTGGGGTAGTCTTGCACAGTTTTTCCAATGTGGTTTTACTGCAAATGGCAAATAAATGAATCTGATTATGTCAATTCAAAGTAATTTCAGGGGCCACAAAGAATGGTCTCGAGGGCCGGATTTGGTCCTCAGGCCTGGATTTGACATGCCTGCTGTACGTCTACTTGGAGAGATTAATTAGAAGATTTGAATCTGTCAGGTTCCCAGACCATAAAGGTCTCCCTTTACGGTCTGGGAACCTGACAGCATTTTTTCCAGGAGGCTTCAAATCAACTTTATATTTATGTTTAATAATCCAATTTGCAAGAAAGAATATGCAAGATGGTGCAAGTATTAAAAGTGAATGTGTTGCCGCTGCTTCAAAGAGTCTAAATAGGAGAGCTTTATATAATGTTGTCTACCTACACATGGGCTTTAGAGACAAACAAAACAAATGAAATTGCCTCAGTTGCCCATGGCATTAGCGAGATAACAGGCACTGACCTTCGATCCGTATAAGTAGTGTGGCTGAGCAGTGGGTGGCTTGTCTCTTTGAAACTCCTGAGAGAAAGGCAGGATGGTGCGCACAAATCTGAACCAAAGTAGAAAGCAAAATAAGACGTGTGTATAAAAAGTAAAAAATACAAATCTGGACTAGTTTTTCCACCGTTCCTTTATAGCATTCTTACAGCATTGTTCAGAATCTGTCAGCAGATGGTGACGTGGGCTGTTAATCTGTATTGTGTTATTTCAATGACAATCATCTCTTTTTAATCCACGGATAAACGTCTCCGTCTCTGGCCATGAACTCAGCTGCTGACAACTGAGAACCTACCGCACAGTCAAATAGTGCGTGTACAATTTCAATTTCAATATCTATTCCATTAAATGCATTCTTATAAAGCCCGAAATCACAACAGTAGTTATCTCAGAAGACTTTACACAACACAACAACACAGATCAGAGAATCAAACAGTTCAAACTCAGGAAATGTAATGATAGAAAACACCATTGAGCCATTGGTCCATAAGAGGCAGATGACCAATGTCCATATATGTGGATAAAGTCCATTAATGTTGTTGAATGTCTTTAGACCCTCCTGCATCTGCAAGGAAAAACTCTAAAAATCCAATGTGAAAAAGTGAGAAAGCTTGAGGGATGCCCACATTGAGGGAAGGATCCGCTCTCAAGGACAGACAGACTGAAGATCCAGGAATAGTTGTTGCCTTTATTATTAGAAAAATACCTGAGGATTTTAGGTTGCAATACACAAAAAGTTTATTTTTGACATCCCTGGACTCATCAATCAGCAAGGAATTTCTATTGTCTCTAAACTCACACACCTGTTGGTCGATCCGTTGTAGCAATAGTTTGGCAGGAAGTCGTAGTTGAGCTCCCAGAAGACGTGCAGCGTGATGCGTCCGTACGGAGCAGACACGTTGTGGTTTGCTTCTCTGAACATGGCGTCAAAACTGTCCAGAGTCAGGAACTTGCACAGCAGTTTGTGGGTCAGACGGTTGATCTCCAGAAGGGCGTCCAGCTCCTGTCAACCAGAAAGAAGGAACAGTTACAAGACTCTACACAACCCTACAAAACCCTACAAGTGTCCTGTAGCGTAAAAAGTCAAAATAAGTCCATAAATTCTGCTCTGTCAATTCTACCACAATCAAAACACAAATAATAGCTCCATCGCTATATATGGCGCAAGGATCAAAGCAATAGAGTAAAAGTAGCGGCTTACAGTTCGGAAATTCTTTCACAAGTTTTCGCATGCATGTATTTTTGGTCATAATTTCAGTGATAAAAGAGAGGACCAGCCCTCATTTCATCCAACCAGCTCTCAACTGTAAAGAATAAAATGTTTTCTAATTAGATGAAGACAGCATGTTGTGGTCTGAATAATCACAAAATGTTACTTAAACATGTCTCTTTCTGTTGGGACATTATCAGAAAATGTATACATTATAAATGGATAGAGATGTATCTAGTGTAAGGTTATATACATAGAGGGCAAGTAAATTTTAGTGATATTTTGGCCTGGTGTACTTTTCCTACATTACATTCATTTAGCAAACGTGATCACATCTGAGCGTTACCATGACGGAGGTGAGGTCTTCACTCTCAAAGCGGTTAATGGCCAGTTCCATGGACCTGTAGAGAGCGGCCGAGACCCTCTGAGTGATGAGACGATTCAGATCAATGGAGCGACCGAGGAGCTGGAGGAAGAGACAAAAACTCCGTAAGTTTGAGTCAAGAAGAGGTCCATAAGATGCGACGTGTACCTGGACATGTTTCTGTTTGAGCAGCGTCTCATAGCGGTTGGAGGACGGCCAGGGGATGTTGGCTCCTTGGGATTTGCAGTCTGCTCTGAGACGCTTGTCGAGCAGTAGACTGTAAAGAAGCAGACATGAATGATCTTTATTTATATCACCATTTTTACAGACCAAGGTAACCCAAAGAGTGATCAGATTCAGATATTTTTTATTCTCTCCACACTGTGAGACGCCGAACACACTGGCATATAAGTCCCCAGCAAACAACATCCATTCACTCGCTCATAACATTCATACCAATTGTGCATATTTTTAGAGGTAGGGGAAACTGGAGCAACCTGAGGAAACCTATGCAAACACGGGGAGTACATGCAAACTCCACTCAGAAAGGCCTTGTTCCGACTGGGATGCAAACCCAGGACCTTCTTGCTAAGAAGCGAGAGTCAGCCACAGCGTCGCTTACATACTTATCTTCGGTTCAAAATTATTTAATCTATTGTATTAAAATTAACTAGCGACAAACCAATACTAGAGTCCGGTGGGTCAATCCAATTTCTTAGATAAGTTACTGATTATTTCCTGGGTGTTTTAACTTATAGGACATTAGAGATATGTTTGTTGAGTTGCATTTGCAGAAGTTTATCTCAGCAGACACACATAACAGGAAAAATTTTTTTTTGCTGGTACATGGTGTGTTGACGCAAGTAAACCCCAACAGAAAAATTCAAAGAGGAAGAAATTCAAATGGAGATTATGATAAGGAAATTCTCCTGGGGTTTGAAGTGGAAGTGATGAGCTGAAAATATGGAGAAGTTTCACTGTTGAGGCAGTGATGGTGAGGAGGAGGAGGGTTGTAGAACAAGTTGAACGTCAGATGCAACAAGGCACTGTTTAAATGATACTTTAGCAAAAGTTGAGGATTTTTCAGTTTACCAATGAGAAAGCTGATCTTTGACTTATGTATTAAGTGCATTATAAGATGTATTTAATTTCTTAAATTTAATTTCGTAGACCCCAAAGTATTACAGCCAGAGCTGAAAATACAGGATAGTGTTTATTTCTACACTTATAATAACTCACCTTCCAGCTAGAATTTTGTAATAAGCAAATATCTGGTCTGCGAGCTTGTAGACGAATTGATCAAAGCACAAGTTGACCTGAGGAGAGAGAGAGAAAATTGAGAATTCTTATAATGTAAATGTGCAAAGCTGTTATTGCCAGTTTTTACAATAGTCTCCCAGTGTTGCATACATATCAGATTCTTGCGCCATTTCTGGTTAAATGACTTTCGGAACTGTGTTCTGATTTTGTAATGACAAGATTTAATCTAATCTATTGTAACTATCATTCTGCCTGAGTTTTGGAACATACAGCTCAGGACACAGTAACAGTATAGAGACAGCAGAAAGCACAGGGAAAAAAAAAACAACAGAAAGTCTGTTTATGGATAGTTTTACCTCTGCCTCTATTTCATCGTACAGGAATTGTTTCTTGAATTTGGTCAGGGCGTAGTGAGCACTGTCGTTGTACAAGTCCAGAGGGTACAGCACATACCTAAAGATAAATACATTTACAAAAGACCAGGAAGAAACATACAATACACATCAACACTACAGTTATTTATCAGACAGTGAAGGGATTTAGATCCTATTAGTTACGGAAATTTACAGTAGGTATTCTTCCTGGAGTCTATGTACTCATCAATGTCACGTTCACATGAAAAACATGTGACTACTATCAATTCTGTTGAGACAAAAAAAATGTATTATCTATGAAACAAAAGAAACTAAGATACCCCAGCTTTAATTGTCTTGGTCGACTAGTCCTGATCATTTCAAAGCACTCACTCCATCATTGAGGCCTCCTTGGTCTCCAGGATGTGGTCTGTGAGGATCCAGGGCATGGACATCTCGATGGGGAACTGGATCCTGCGGCCCATCGTCAGCTCCAGGAAGAACTCCCTGAACCAGAGCTGGGAGAGGTCACAACAGTGTTGCAAGGTCTCTGCAAAAACATCAAAGAGAAATTCAAATAATCTCTAAGGTTGGGCGATATGGAGAAAATAAATAACTTGGAGACATTTATGTGTTTTTGAGTTGGTGGCCTTCAGGTTGTCTAAACTGAAAGGAGAGATGAGTTGTTTTTAAGCGTTGGAATTCAACATGAGTGAATCTTCAAAAGGACAGGCTGCAACAGAAGTGATCTCTTACATTAACACTAAAATATTATGATAAATAAAACATTTATTGTGTTAAAAGACAGACATTGCAAATTAGCCTTGGCTAAAAACCGTATGTCGATTGTGTACACAATCAACATAGAACATAGAACATATAGTTGTGTATTCACACAACTATATAATGCTTGCACTAGAATTTACAGTACTTTATACTTGCTTTATTACGCTAAAGATAGAGATTTTATTTAATTTTAGTAAAGAGGTATTCCTCACTTATCTTGTGCTGTGTGCTGGGAGGCAAAATAGTTTTTTGACCATTAAACACACAGTAAAAGTATGTTGTTACCACTGAAGTTGAGAAGATGGGTGTAAAAGAAGGACTCGCGGTGAAACTTCTCAATGTCCAGAATGGTGGGTCCTTCCAAACTGCTGCGAAGAGTTTTCTTGGATCCACTTTTGTCGGCAACCAGAGACTCCAGCATCGTCCGCACCATGTAGAGCTGCAGAAGCAACATCATTCTCAGTTTTGTCTTCCGAGACAACTACTGTGATTTAGAGCTATTCAAAAATACATTGAATTGAAATGAATTAATTTAGTGTCCATTGAGAGGACAGCTTAGACTTCTTAACACATTTTTATTTTGCGTTATTGGATTAACAGCAAAGGGGATACACAGATCAATGGTCCTGGTCCCTTTGCCCCAAAGTAATAGTGCTCTACTGTGATTTTCTGGATTTTTCTTCTCATTTTGTTTCTTGTAGTTGATGTATTCCCATTACTAAATACTGTACTCTTTGATCCCATAATAAGTTCTCACTTCAGAATGCTAAAAAAAAAAAAGGCTACTGTGCATGAAAAGAATGCCAAAACTTGCTTGTAATTATCATAAACAATCAGAGCTCAATTGCTACAGTCAAACAGTAATCTTATATTTGGACGTTTGCAGTATATACAGAGCATTATGTGGAAATTACTGTATAGTAGTGCAGACACAGAGGTGTCCCTGGGCAAGACACTTAATCCCACTTTGCCTGAATCCCCCGCTGAAGTAACTATCTTCCCGTGGAGCCACCCCCTGCAGGCGGATCAGTGAGGGGCTGGTGCTATGAGCATTGGATGGCAGCTCTGATTGCCACTCCCAACCCAGAAATGGACTAATAAAGGAGATGAAAATGAAGAATGAATAGTGCAGACACAGATTTTCTCCTTTTAAATTGTATATGTCCCTTCCATAATGTCAGAAACAACCCAACTAAACCTAAAGCTGAAGCTAAAGTTCTCTAGCTAATGCATCAAGATTCATGGTCACATAAAGGAGCATTGCTTTTACTATGGGCTCCCATGTATTGATTTAGATACCACAAGTTCTCAGGTATGACCCTGGTGTAGGTGAGAAAATTAATTGTGGACGGAGTGAATACAGATCAACCCGATGACACTTTGTGAATAGTGTAACATAAAATATGCCTGAGAGAGGCAGGTTCACTCAATCTCTGATCACGACATGAAGAAACAATGACATAGCCTCAAGGGTACCGGTCAGATTATGGTCAGATTAGTTTTCAATTAATTGGATGATTACGTTTTTTCATCTTTCTTTAAACAGTGAATTTTAAGACCTCTACAATTTGTTTAATTTAAATTCACTGCACACTGAAGAGAGAAGCGAGACGCCAAACACTGCAAAAAGTGATGAAAAATAAGTAAAACATTTCTCAAATTTGGCAACATGTATCTTAAGTTGAGCACATTGTGACTGCCTTAAAACAAGATTTGCCAATGGGACAAGCAAAATGATCTAGTTTTAAAAAGATACAAGAAATGTCTCCCTTGGAATGAGAAAATAAAGCAACAGTTCTCGAAAAAAGACTAAACTTGTCAGAAAGTACTCAAATCAAAATATACACTCAGTTCAAGCTTTTATTACATAATATTTTATCATTATTTGCAGTGTTGGATTTCATTCCATTTCATTTCTTCATCCTGTCTGATGAAGGGTAGTGACCCGAAACGTCACATTGTGTGGTGAGAATTAAAATGGGGCGCAAAAGCTGTGCAGTCATCTACATTTTTTCATGGATTTCATTCCAACCAAGCAGGAGCACAGCAGGCTTAAGTCCATTCTTAAGCTGGAAACTTGGGTGGGGTCTGGTGCGCTCCTGTTTGTTTGGAACCAAAATCTGCAGCCACATCCAGTGTTTGAAACTGCCCAGCTCTGAGATAAAAGCTGAGCAAAGTGAACATGGCTTGATTATAGTTGAATCCTTATGAATATAAACAGTGATGGGACAAAGAGTGGACACCTGTGTGCTAGAGGGCCCAACAGCTCTTCTCGGGACCGTGATATCGAAGCCTCCCTTTGGGTCCTTCTCCCCTCTGAGGGCTGGGTCGTTATGGGGCTCCCGGCCGGTCTCCCAGTCACACACAGTCTTCCTGATGGCTTGAAGGACACTAAAACAAAGACAATAATTATTTATCTGCGCTGGCTTAGGCCCTGTCCACACGAAGTCAAGCTCAGGCCTAAACGCAAAAATACTTTATCAATCCAGTGTATCGTCCATACGAGGCCGGCGTTTTGGGGGGGTGTAAACGAACATTTTTGAAACTAGGTCCCAGAGTGGAAAGATTTCAAAACTCCGTATATGCCGCTCCGTGGTTACTGCCTCTCCGCAATGTATCTGAGACGCTTGCGTCATCGCCCCGCCTCTTGTTAAAGCACGCATGCGCCGCACTCAGAAAATAATGACAACAACAATGTAGCTTGTTGGTTTTGTAATCCAGTGTGACCCGAAGCAACAGTTCAACCTCATCGTCCGTCCATACTAATGTAGTACCAGCTCGCCCACTCGCCATGTTGTCTGTTTACAAAATTCCGCGCATGCCCACGGAAGTTTGGGCTTGATCCCGTCATTGCGTCACAGCGCCACCAACAGGTCTGGCATAGTTTCACAGCGTTTTCAGGCGTATTGACTACATTCATATGGACGCACACATTTACTGAGCTAACTCCGTGTTTACAGAAAAAGTTTCTGAAATTATAAGCGTTTTGTCTTCGTGTGGATATAGCCTTACTGTGACTCAGAGAATAGACTTTGTTTGTTACTAGTCTCTCCTTGGCCTCGCACCAAACTACATTAGTGACAGTTAGAGCCATATAAACCAAATCTGACTCTGAGGAGCACAGGGACTGGACTCCTGCTGGTGCCCAGAGTCAGAACTAAACATGAGGAGGCAGCATTTCATATTCATGCACCTAAATCTGGAATATTCTTCCTGAAATCTGGAATATTCTTCCTGAAAAAGACAGGCCTTTTCTCTGACAATGTTTGAATCCAGGTTAATAACAGTTGTGTTTAACTGTTTCATATTTACTCTTTTTTAATGCACAATGATTAACTATGATTTTAATGCTTTGTGTGATTGTATCTTGTTTTGTTCAGCATTTGAGTTACCTTGAGTATGAATTGTGCAATACAAATAAACTTGCCTAGCCTAATGACAGGACAATATTTATGCCTGTACGATGCTTGCGTATTATAAAAGTTGCTCTAACATTGCCGCTTTTACACCTAGCATCAGGAAAAGGAAAAAACGTCTCCATGACAAACGTATATAAAGAGATGACACGTTATATCTAAGTACTCCCTATGCACTTTCTGACACAGAGGAGACCGAGAGCCACTTGGGATTTCTTATATCTCATCTTACACCGCATAGATGTCAGTTTTCTAGTTTTTTTCTGTGTTGGGATTTAAGGTTTTGCTTCAAACACAACATATTGAACGGTTCACAGGATTTTCCATTAAAAGGCAACTGTGAAAAAGTGAGATTTTCAGACTTCATTGAATTATGTATGAGATCTGTCGACACCATCTGAAAATCTGTCTGCAATATTTCTCTGCCAACTCATCTTCCCGTATAGGATTGAATGATTTATATACCGCCTTTCACAGACCAGAGTCACAAAGCGGTTTACAATTGTTATTTTTGGGCAATTGTCCACTCACTCCACACAGAGATGGGAGCGGGTCCAGTGAATGGTTGTGGGTGGTGGGGGGGCAGATTGCACATACTTGTTGCCTCACTTCTGTCAGTGTGCCCCAGGGCAGCTGTGGCTACAGTAGTAGTTTATCACCACAAAGAGGAGGCAAAGAGTACATACAGAATACAAATACCACAATAGCTCCAACACAGATCAACCGGATACTACTGAGACAAGGCGAGCAAAATTTACATCTGCAGGGAAATGTGCATTTTTGTGTAATTCAGGACGATGACTTCATAAAGTTTTCAATCAAGCAAAGTTACAACCCGCCTTCGCGCATCACAAAGAGTCAAAAGACTTGAGTCTGGGTTTGCTCTGCATTTTCATACCTCTGTATGACGTTCTTCTTCTTCTTGATCGCGTGCCGCAGTGGGTCTCTCAGAGTCACTTGAGCGAAGTCCTGAAGCGCTGAGTAAATGGTGTGGCGAATGGCGTGGTTGAAGACACTCTCCATCCGCCCCATCAGCACCTGCAGCCCTTTGATCATCGCAATCACCTGCAAACCATCCATATCAGTGTTGATTATAACCAAGAGTCAGAAATGGACAGAAAATTCAATAACTGAGAGGGTTTGAATCAATATTTTCTTGTTTACAATTCATTTCTGTTTAGCCCTAAAGCAGAAAGACTTTTTTTAATTTAAATGAATTGACTTGACAAATACAGACAGATCAGAAAAATCAAACAGGTTGAACACTGGAAATACAATAATAACTGTCGACCTCACATTTCTGTACAATATCTTTAACTAATTCCAGAATGTGCAATATGAAACCACATGTGTCACTGTCACGGCATCCCAGACATACAACTATATATTTACTGCACTGGAATATACATTACTTTGAACTTGCTTTTTTTCACTAAAGTTAGAGATTTTGTACTTAATTTCTGCTTTTTATTACAGATTATAGACTGCTCCTTATTATGCTAAAGTGCTATTTAATGTTTATTAAGTAGATTAAGATTTAGTAATAGTTTAGTATAGAGTTTAGTATAGAGCTGTGTTCATTTATGCTCATTCCTACTGTTCTGTAACTGGTGACGCGACACTGCATGTGTTTTTTTTAATCATTGTATTTCTTGTGTTTGAACCGTTTTTCTGATCGGTGTTGCCGAATTCGACGGTTTTGTAAAGTCCTTCGAGAGTGATTTAGGGCGATACAAGAATATATTTAATTTCACTTAATTGTAATATAATACACAGAGGGAAACAGACGTACCTCAACCAGTGCAAACTTCTCCTCACTGCTGTAGTTGTACCTCGTGGCCCGTTCGTATTCCTCGGCATTGTCTGGACACTCTTTGTTGGAGTATTTGTCGGTGGGATGGACCAGCTTCCAGGAATACTGCATTAAACATTCATAAGTGTTTTAATTAGGGGAACATCAACACAGACAATATGCTGAGAAAAAAAAAAATCAGAAGTCAAGCCCCTTCCTCACTGCAAGGAGGTTTTTATTCACACATAATTTACACTTTTACTGCATCTGATTTATTATTGAACAAGTCGCCTGAATTTTCTTCTGTCAGGTTCTTTGTTGAATTATGGTAATATTGATGTCATATGTCATTACATAATACAAAAAGAGACTATAGAGTTGAGTGAAACAGAGCTTCTTCCTGGTTCTTACCACTTCCATGACGTGGGCGCTCCACTGGGAGAGCAGCTGCATTCCCTGCAGAGCCAGATCAAACAGCTTCCTGTACTCAGAGTCTGTCTTCTGGGACTCCTGCCGACCTGAGCCCGTCACCACCTGCAGGACAGCAGCAGATTGGTTAAAAGAGACAAGACAAAGAACATGGGCTCTACTCTGAGCTCCTCTCATATGACCGAGCTCCTCACTTCATCTATCCAGCTACTCTCAGGAGGGTGTGTAATATAAACTTTACAGTAAGTAAGTAAGTAATCTTTATTTATATACCGCCTTTTCACTGCAGATCTGAGTCTCAAAGCGGTTTACAATTGTTAATTTTGGGCATTTGTCTCTCACTCCACACAGAGATGGGAGCGGGGCCAGTACAGGAGGCGCATGCCAGAACTATTGGACATATTTTTAGTGGTAGGGGAAACCGGAGTACCCGGAGGAAACCTACGCAGACACGGGGAGAACATCCAAACTCCACTCAGAAAGGCCCTGGTCCGACCGGGATTCGAACCCAGGACCTTCTTGCTGAGAGGCGAGAGTGCTATCCACTCAGCCACCGTGCCGCCCAATGGTATTAAACGGATTACAAAATATGTTTGATCCGTCGGGTATTGAACTATATAGTCTAGACAGGCCTCGACACAAGTCTTAAAATAGTTCAAATTACCTCTGCAATTTCAACACCACATGAGAAATCTATTTGTGCATTTTCTTTGACCGTTTACTTCTGAAGCCTGATATATAAATCCAGTTTCATTATACAGTGAGTCTGCAGCCGCTAGAGTAACAATGGTGACACAGCAGGTGAAAGCTCCCAGTATGAAACATGGTCAGAGCGTGTGCAGCGATGAGTGCCCAGTGGGATCCAATACATTTATATTTCCCTTTTTCCTTTTACTCGTCACTTCTCTGCAAAATAGGTTTTCTTTCTGACGATTCAGGTTTGGAATTGCCATCTGAGTTGCGACTGACAAATCCACAGGGCAAGACATCTGCTGTAAATCCTGTTACATCACCGCCAGGGATTCAAATAGTCTCATTCACATACAAGGCTATGAGGCGAAAGATTAACAAATGGACAAACAACCTAGCTACTGAATTATATATGAAGAACGAGGGATGGAGCAAATTTTTCTCCATCCAATACTGATATGCAATATTCCAATCCACATTATGCAGTGCTATTCAGCGCCCTCTGGTGGTCAGGAAATATGAAATAAATATGAACATTGGTCATCTGCCGCTTGTGGACCAATGGCTCTATGTGTTTTATATTGTTGCATTTCCTGTGTTTAATTCTCTGATCTATGTTGGAAAATCGACAGCTTTGTAAAGTCCTCAGAGAACTGCTGCAGTGATTTAGTGCTGAACAAGAATACATTGAATTGAAATAGAACATGGTTGATTCCACGGCTTTGGTCCAGATGATTTTAGACAAAAAGGGCGACTAATTCAGTTTTTTTTATTTTTTTGTCTACAGTCACAATTCTGGCTTTAGGGATAAAATTAAAATAAGAATATTGATATTCTGTAAAGCAAATGTAAAAAAAGGTTATATTCATTCATTCATTATGGTTGAAGGGGTTTGCAACTGTTTACACCTCGTAACACCCACCTCAATTGGCTTGTGTACAGAAGCCACACAGTTTAACCAGGACTTAACGGTAAAGGTGCACTTTATAATTTCCCGTAGGGCAATTCATCCCTCTCCATTTGACCCATCCTGATGCCACTAAGGCTTACGTCAGGAGCAGCGGTCGCCGTAGTACAGCGCCCGGGAACCCATTTCCAGATGTTGATGCTCGGCTTGGTCAGGACTACCGGAGCTGGAGGATTAAACCAAGTGTGTGTGTTTTTAGTGGTCGGGGAAACCGGAGTACCCGGAGGAAACCTACGCATGCACGGGGAGAACATGCAAACTCACACCTATCTCCGCCGGTGAAACTAATGTGCTGGGACCCGCGCCCCTGGTCTCACCTCGTTGTTGCTGTAGCGAGCCAGCTCCGAGATGAAGCGCATGTGGTCTTCTCGGATCTGGATCATCTGCTCACAGATGTTGTACTGCGGGTTGCTGGAGTTGGACATACAGGTCCATCTGCGGAGGAGAGGGAATTGGAAAGATCAAGCGAGACGCACAGAGAGCAGCTGCAATCTGACAAAACGATACACAGTAAATATCGGGCAAAAGATCAGATAAGATAGACCAGGGCTGTCAAACTCATTTTGGTTGAGGGCCAAGTTTAAAAACAAAACAGATGTTTAAAATTTTTATAAAGGGTTTAAGGTTTAAAGTGACTATGTTTGTACCTGTGGGTAGATTATTTTTGCAGTTACAAAGAGATAGACTTGGCCTCCAAAACATAAAATATTCATAAAAATCTAATTTACAAAAAAAAAAAACAATAACAGATAACCGGACATTGGTCTCTCCCTATGGACCAAATGTATTTATTGTATCTTAACTGTTGATTCTCTGATCTGTGTTGGTGATTTCTATGGTTTTGCAAAAGCCGCACCAAATCACTTAGTGAATTTTTCGAATGTGAGCGCTGGCCTCGCTCTTTTTGCTCGCCCTCCCCACTACCCCCCTCCGCCTGTGCTCACATGCTAATTGTATACGGAGCTCACGTCTCACAATATGGATCGCACATTTGAACGTGGATGGCGTGACCAAAAAATGAAAAACCCAGGGAGCGCGGAGGAACAAGACTTTCTTTTGGATGGCTGTTTTGCTGAGTAAGCAAATTAATGCAAAAATAAAGTGAGGTAATGCAGCTTTGAGTCCTCTGAGATGACTTCTTTTGTGATTTACGGCTATACAAGAATAAGTTGTTGTTGTTGTTGTTGTAGATAAGTAAAGTGGTCAAAAAGTATAGTCAGGATTCCAGAGTGAAAAACCCAGGATAAGAAATAACAATCACAACTGGACCAAATATCCCAAAAAAATATAAAAAGGATTCTTTGGCCTAACTTACATATAATTCTAATTATATGCAAGTTTACATTCCAAGTTTACAAAAACACACTAACACCAAGACATACGTTCACATACCACAGAATAATGTATAATTGTCTCATAATTTAAAATGCCTGACTGTTTTTGCAAAGGGGCAGAAAATGTCCAGTAAATATCTGGAAAGTTTCCAATGGGAAGATAAGGTGAGGAATTTTGGGAATATTCCACATTGGAGGGAATTTGGGAATGAATTGTAATGTAAATAGTATTATGTCCATTTGTGTATTTGTAAGTAGAATAATAGAAACTTTTATTTTTTGAGAAGTCATTTTTCTCATGGAAGAAGAACAACAGGAAGTGGAATGAGCTTCAAAACATCCCACATGAGATAGCTAGCATCTGCCATATGTGATAAATTAAGTTATTTAGCCGCTTGCCCTCTACTAGACATAGATATGTATTAGTATGTGATATTTACAATTTAAATATTTATAAATATTATATAGTTGAATATGTATTGTATGAGTGTGTTTTTTCTTCAGACCTTGATTTGTTGTCCTCAAAGTGGGCGCTTGTGGTGATGTAACGAGACAACTCGATCTGCATGTCCCCGAATAGAGGCACGACCTGCAGTTGCTGTGAAATAAACAAGAACAGATTTGTAATTGGGCACCAGGCAGTCGATGAAGCATTCTAACTATTGCCAATATCAAACCATTATTGTCAGGTTCAAAGTTCTCTGTATTGTCCCACTGGAGGAAATGAGTTGGTTTTGCAGCAAGTAAATATTGACGAACAGACACAGGAGCAAAGTTGGAATAGCATTGCATTCAACACTTAAAAGATGAGATGGAATTCTTGAACCCTTTCAACTTCTAAATTCTTATGCGTCACTGAAGAAGAGGACAATTATTTACTTAATGACTTTGTGAATGAAGATGAATTTGTACATTAATTTTTGATTGAAAACTTTTTTGTCTGGATTTTCGGAGTGAGGCCCCATCACTTAAACAATTTCCAGACATAAATGTTTTCTTGTCAATTTCTTGGGACTGATTTAAATGTATTTATTTTAATCACAAACAACGCACAATAAACATTAGTCTTACAAAAAATAATATGTTGTTTAAGCAAAAATGCTCTATCCGCTCCTAGAGCTACAAAAAGACACATCTATCAGCTTTCCAGAAACGAAGAGTGTTATCTGGCACCTTCAGTCTCTCTCCCTAAAACCCTCAAATCAGGTCAGAAATCTAGACTGACTTAAATTTCACCAGCCACATCAAATCAGGTAATAAATGTTTGAATGGAGTTGTTATTGTCTTACTTTGAGTACATTCTGACTACCTTAAATAAGATTTTCCAATGGGACAAAGCCATTTAGTCTCCTTTCAATAACTGTTGCTTTATTTTTTCATTCCAAGGGAGACATTTCTTGTATCTTTTTAAAACAAGATTATTTTGCTTTTTCCCATTGGCAAATCTTGTTTTAAGACAGTCAGAATGTACTCAGATTAAGATAAAAACTCAATTCAAGCATTTATTACATCATATTTTATCACATTTTTTTAGCATTGTGAAACTGGCAGAGGACTGATTTGATGTGGCTGTTGAAATATAAGTCAGTCTAGATTTCTGACCTGATTTGAGGGTTTTAGGGAGAGACTGAAGGTGGCAGATAACACTTTGTTTGTTTGTGCTCAAATGAAGACTTATTTTTTCTTCACTTTACGCAGTGTACCATTAAAGAACATTGCAAAAATCAAAAACACAGTGTCTAAAGCAGACTTGGAGATTCTTATCTCTGCATTTGTCTCCAGCAGGTTAGACTACTGAATGTACAGTATTTGGTACTTCTACACCAGACAATAGCAAGTTTGCAATGTTTTTACCTTGACATGTTTCAACGGTATACTTCTGACGCACTTAGAGAAGCCCTGTGTATGAACTGTCCAATAGAAATAAAAACTTGCCTTGCATCCTCATGAACACATTAAGAGTTTGTAAATGTGATGACGTCTTTAGGGAGTGTTTCAAAGGCCAATTGCTTCATATGAGAAAAATTGATGAACGAATGTGGTTTTGAATCTGGTAACATTTTGTGCAAAATGTCAGTAATGTCCTGATTTACAAAAAGTAACCTGTACCTGTTATTTCTCACGGCAGTTCATGTTAATGAGGCATAAATTCTAGTGAACAGATTGAATGTATATGTATATTTAATTATTTAGTTCTACTCATCCTATTTCTCCTAAAAAATAAGAAAAAAATAACTAATTTGGCTTAATGCATCTTAATTTCAGCACATTATGACTGCCTTAAAACCAGATTTGCCAATTGGACAAAAGCAAAATTATCTTATTTTCAAAAGATACAAGAAATATCATTCGTTCATCTCCCTTGAAACAAAAAAATTAAGCAACAGTACAATAAGTCACTTCAAGTCACTAATGCACTAAGACTGAAAAAACCTGCACTGCTATTGCCACTTTTTACTTCTGTCTTTTGCACAATCTGAGTGATTCTATCTATGCCAAATGTGACATTTCTCCAGTGTCAGATCAATAAAGGCAATCTTATCTTAAAATCAGACTAAATGGCTTTGTCCCATTGGCAAATCTTGTTTTAAGACAGTCAGAATGTACTCTAACCCTGATCCTGACAGTTCCTTAGAAGTAGCAACAGACTGAGTCTGTGGAATATTTTTGTCTAAAACCAAACTGCAATTCTTGTGTTCTTATCCTCCTCATTCTTCTTCATGAAAACGCATAGCTGATAGATGTTGTATTAACCATAATTTAGAGGTGCAGTAAAGAAAAGAGCTTTGAATGTCCATTTGAATGTTATATTCAGTACAAGGGTAGAGTATTATGTTTGTGAGCTTTGCAAACACACAAGTAGAGAGAGAGAACAACCTCAATGACTTCCATTATAGAGACACCAAGTTTAATGTGAGCACCATTATGTGAAGCGGCTCAAAACGCGACACGATTTGTATTCTCACAGGACGACAAGAGACCGTAGAGCTTAGATTTCTTTATAGACATGGGAAGAATGACTTAAAAGGTGATTTCACAGCTGCTTACCTTAAAAAACTTGTCGATCTTAGACAGATTGATTCTTTTCTTTGCGTCCAGTTTGTAGATGTTGCTGCTGTTTCCATCCATGAGGTACAAACCGAAGCCCATTACCTGGAAAAGAGGAGCGTTACTATAATGGGTGTAATATAAATGTGACACTGTGTGCTCCTTGCCACCTATGACAACATCAGAAGTACAAAACATGTTCGATTGTATGTACATGGCACTCAGGAACATGTATCGGTAAAAACAATGCACTATCATCAAGCACAGACCTGTGGAACAATGTTTAAACTGGAGAAATGTGACAAATTAGAGCTCTGCAGTCATTCTTTTGTTATGTGTTAGTTTTTATTATTATATATTGGACTTATATTTGTCATAAATGTATTTAATTTGATGGCAAGGCAAGTTTATTTGTATAGCACAATCCATACACAAGGCAACTCAAAGTACTGAACAAAATAAGAAAACATTAAAAATAATAAATAATCATAAATAATCAGAGTACATTAAAAAGAAAGATAAGAATATAAAATATGCAAAGCTTAACAGAACTGTCTTTAACCTGGTTTTAAACATTGTCAGAGAGGAGGCCTGCCTCACACTTTCAGGAAGACTGTTCCAGATTTTAGCAGCATGAATCTGAAAGCAGCCTCCCCATGTTTAGTTCTGACTCTGGGCACTAATAGGAGTCCAGTCTCTGCTCCTCAGAGTCCGGGCTGATGCTGATCTGCGTTTTACCTCTGCGTGCATGAAGGGACTAATCAGTGTGCAACTGATTTGTGGTGGGGGAAAAAAATGGATTCTGTTAAATCTCACGATATTTTGCGCATGCACTTAAATCGATAAAGCGGAGAAAAGTGTTGTGATTGATAATCAAACAATTATACGAGTTTCCTCTGGTAATTTCCATCTGAGGTTTATGTTCCTGTATGATGTCTGCTTGTTGTGACTGTAGTGTGTTGTATGTGCTGGGAGCTCACCGTTCATGTGAGAGGTCGTCTATTCAGAGTCCTGTGTCCTGAATGCTCAAGGATAACGTTTTTGCACTAACCTCCTCATTGTTTGCTTCAGTTCATGCGCAGACCACAATAAATGTGATATTTGAATTGAGTGTATTTTCCTTATTTTTTTGTAATATGTATGAACAATATGAGGGACATGAATGGTAATATATCAAATATCAATATTTACATTATCGCAATATGCTAAGAATCACAATAATATTTAATTGTGGCCCAAATATCACAAAACTATCAAATCGTCATATTTTTGCCAATTCCCACTCGTACTTGTGATCACGTCCTATTTGTACAGCTTAACTCCATTCACTCTTTTCTACAATCTGCGTTTCTCGCTCACAAATTCAGAGTCTCATTATCAGCTGCAGCAACACGTCTCTCATGACATTTATGCAAAGGTAATGTTCCAGGTCAAACCCATCAGGATCTAACCATAAATATTCAGTTCCAATGCACTGGTGTTTTAATGGGCCAACCTCAGACAGAGGTGTGTGAGTGTGTGTGTGTGTGTGCGTGCGTGCGTGCATGTGCCTCACTTTCAGCAACATGTGCTTGTCTCCGGGGGTCAGGTACATCTTGTTCTCATAGTAATCGATGCACAAATTCACAATGTCGGCCAGGAGCTCTTCGTAGCCATTAATGACCTCGAGCTGCTGCTGTAAAGACTGAGAGACAGAAGGACATTCAAGTTATTTGGACAAGTCTGCTGTGATTTCATTCTAAGCGCATGAACATGAGGACACATTTGATCATAAAAAATAGCTTATGACATTAATGGTTCCTCAACCATTTGGTGGATCACTTTTTGAGTCACTATAATGACTGAATAAATCGGTTTTAAATAGCACTTTTCAGGACCCAGAAATGGACTAATAAAGGGGTAGAAAATGAATGAACTTTTCAGGACACTCAAAGACTCTTCAAATGTCATTATTCATTAACTTCATAAACAGAATCAGAATCATTTTTATTGCCATTTAAGTAACAGGAAGTCACAGACTAGGAAATTGCTTTGGCTCAGTGCAACAGTCAGAAAGAGATAATAAAAATAAAGAATAAAAAAAGAATAAGAATAAAAAACACTTCTAAGGAATAAATTTAAATTTAAAATAGAGTTACAGTTACTATTTACAATACACAAGTGCACATGGTGCACACAATGTAAGGTGTGGTCACTTACATTTACCTCTTTGGGGCATCTCACTTGGTTAAAGGCAATTTTACCAACAACCTGAATCTCAGTCAATTGATAAAGGCCTATAATATAGAGTCCTACATAGAAAATCCCAAAAAGAAAAAAAAAAGTAAATTTCTTTTGTTAAGGAGTGAACATTAAAGGGTTAACATGGTAATAGAGTGGTAAGAAAACATAATTATTTTGGGGTTTTCCAGGTGGAAAGGGTTCATATCCTGAACAGAACGGATCGTGAATGCATTTTTTACCCATTGTTTGCAGTTGAATCCAGCAATTAGACACAATAACTCTGGGACACGTCCATCCATCCATCCATTTTCTTCCCCTTAATCCATTTCTGGGTCGGGGGGGGTGGCAGTCAGAGCTGCACCCAGTACACTTAGCACCAGCCCCTCACTGATCCTCCTGCAGGTGGTGAGTCCACAGGAGCTGAGATCTTTCAGTGGGAGCTTCAGGCAAAGTGGGGTTAAGTGTCTTGCCCAAGGACACAACGACAGTAGTCATCAGTGGGAGTCGTGAAGTAGGTCTTATGGTGGGCTTGAACCCACGACCTTCAGGCCCAAAGGCCAATGCTCTACCAACTGAGCTATTGTCGCCCCAAACGTGTCTGGGACACGTACTTCCAGTCAAACCACTAACGCATACTTAAGCCTAGTTTATACTCGCGCGGCGCTTACGGAGGTGACGTGACGTCACTTGCGCAACGCGTTGGTCACCGCAAGGCCCTTACGTCGCCTGCCGCGCAGCATTTTCTAACTATGTAAGGGTCGCCGCAAGGAAGCTCCGCTGTGATTGGTCCGTGTGTGTGTATTGGAAGGAAGCATGAAGCGGCTGCAGCAGGGACAATGGACAAGGCACTATGGAGCAGAGAGCTTTGTGCTTCGAAGGAAAAGCAGTTTGGGCTCAGAGCCTGATATACAGGAGACTGGACTCTAACTATTAATATATATATAAAATATATATATATATATATATTTTATTATTATATATATATATATATATATATATATATATATATATATATATATATATATATATATATATATATATATATATATAATATATATATATATATATATATATATATAAATATTATAATAATATATTAAATTATATAAAAAACTTATAAACTGTGCAGTAGTTTGTTTTGCACTGTTCCTGTCTTGTTTGAATTGTAGCTGCGTTTGTTGCTTTCCTCCTGCACTCGTAAATCGTTCATGTTTGTCTCAGATATTTACCACTATTATTGTTTTGCTGTTTGTGCTGAAAACTATTTAATAATAACTATGTTTCACAAGAACTGTGTCTTTATTCACAGCATCACAGTTGAAATGACTTATAAAATAATTAATCCATAAAACTATCACATAAACCTACAGTAGAAACACGTGTAATGAGCTCAAACAGCTTTGTTTGCTATTGTTGTTCTGAAGAGGACAAAGTAGCAGCGTAAATGGGACCGCTCCTGTGTGATCGCCCTCATGTGGTTTGTTGTGGGATTACAACATTCTCCTTAAAACTCCGTAAGGGGAACGCGCCAGTATAACATCAATTGTGCTTACGTAGGTCCACCGCAACCGCTAACGTAAGCCACGCCGCGCAAGTATACACTAGGCTTTAGACTTACAGTGCCTTGCGAAAGTATTCAGCCCCCTTGAACCTTTCAACATTTCGCCACATTTCAGGCTCCAAACATAAAGATATACAATTTGAATTTTTTGTCATGAATCAACAACAAGTGGGACACAATCGTGAAGTGGAACGCAATTTATTGGATAATTTAAACTTTATTAACAAATAAAAAACTGAAAAGTGGGGCGTGCAATATTATTTGGCCGCTTTACTTTCAGTGCAGCAAACTCACTCCAGAAGTTCAGTGAGGATCTTTGAATGATCCAATGTTGTCCCAAATGACTGATGATGATAAATAGGATGCACCTGTGTGTAACCAAGTCTCCGTATAAATGCACCTGCTCTTTGATAGTCTCAGGGTTCTGTTTAAAGCGCAGAGGTCCGAGATACCGTTGTGGAGAAGTTTAAAACCGGATTTGGATACAAAAAGATTTCCCAAGCTTTAAACATCTCAAGGAGCACTGTGCAAGCAATTATATTGAAATGGAAGGAGTATCAGACCACTGCAAATCAACAAAGACCCGGCCGTCCCTCCAAACTGTCATCTCAAACAAGGAGAAGACTGATCAGAGATGCAGCCAAGAGGCCCATGATCACGCTGGATGAACTGCAGATAACTACAGCTGAGGTGGGAGAGTCTGTCCATAGGACAACAATCAGTCGTGCACTGCACAAATCTGGCCTTTATGGAAGAGTGGCAAGAAGAAAGCCATTTCTCAAAGATATCCATCAAAAGTCTCGTTTAAAGTTTGCCACAAGCCACCTGGGAGACACACCAAACATGTGGAAGAAGGTGCTCTGGTCAGATGAAACCAAAATCAAACTTTTTGGCCACAATGCAAAACGATATGTTTGACGTAAAAGCAACACAGCTCATCACCCTGAACACACCATCCCCACTGTCAAACATGGTGGTGGCAGCATCATGGTTTGGGCCTGCTTTTCTTCAGCAGGGACAGGGAAGATGGCTAAAATGGATGGGAAGATGGATGGAGCCAAATACAGGACCATTCTGGAAGAAAACCTGTTGGAGTCTGCAAAAGACCTGAGACTGGGACGGAGATTTATCTTCCAACAGGACAATGATCCAAAACATAAAGCCAAATCTACAATGGAATGGTTCACAAATAGACGTATCCAGGTGTTAGAATGGCCAAGTGAAAGTCCAGACCTGAATCCAATCGAGAATCTGTGGAAAGAGCTGAAGACTGCTGTTCACAAACGCTCTCCATCCAACCTCACTGAGCTCGAGCTGTTTTGCAAGGAAGAATGGGAAAGAATTCCAATCTCTCGATGTGCAAAACTGATAGAGACATACCCCAAGTGACTTGCAGCTGTAATTGCAGCAAAAGGTGGCGCTACAAAGTATTAGCACAAGGGGGCCGAATAATATTGCACGCCCCATTTTTCAGTTTTTTATTTGTTTAAAAAGTTAAAATTATCCAATAAATTTTGTTCCACTTCACAATTGTGTCCCACTTGTTGTTGATTCTTGGCAAAAAATTTAATTTTAAATTATGTTTGAAGCCTGTAATGTGGCGAAATGTTGAAACGTTCAAGGGCGCCGGATACTTTCGCAAGGTACTGTATCTTTATCTATTGCACAGCAGTGTAGGCCATGCACACAAGACTGAAGAATGCATTAAAACAGGTTAGAGGGACAACAGCATTTGAACTAGCACAAAAACTGCATGTTTGCAAATACTGAATCCAAGTCATTTATTTTGTGGACAAGTGAATAAATATGAACTGTATGTAATGCATCTGGCAAAATGCACCTCCCATTTTGCCAGATGCACCTCTGGCAAAATGGGATTTGTTCGAAAGCTAAAGGGAACTGGAAGGTGCATCTGGCAAAATAGGAACAGGGTGATAATAGGGACTAGTTCACAATATTTGTATGTGAGAAAAGGACTATCTATATTCAATTAAAATCTTTACAAAGTTGCCAATACCAACTTAAAGTATAAGTTCAGTAGGCAGATCTTTTTAAAGTTAAAACATGATTTATTAGAGTTAGATGACTGAACTGTACTTAACTTTACGTATTTCCGAGTTAAGTTAACATGAGTAAGTGGGATCATGGTCTAGTCCAGCCATTCCCAAACTCAGTAACACCGAGGCCCCCTTAAAAATCTGACGGGTCTGCGTGGCCCCCCAAAATAATAACCAAGAAGACAACATTAAGAATAGGCTCTTCTGGTTATTTTTATTTTGGGGAAATAGCCTCTGCTACAAACATTGTAATACAAAAATGATTACAGTGGATTATTCAAGTCAAATAATGAACACAAATAGTTTAATATTACAAACAAAACATTATAAATTTAACATTAAATAATTATATATATATATATATATACCTCCCGCGGCCCCCCTGCAGTACCCTCGCGGCCCACCAGGGGGCCGCGGACCCCACTTTGGGAGACACTGGTCTAGTCTGTAATGCGCTATATGAATAAACATTACTTACTTACTCGAATGACCAGGAGCAGTGAACATTTAATGTGCAGGACTCCATTCACTTATTCACATAAATATTTTGCAATTAATAAAATACAGTGGGGCAAAAAAGTATTTAGTCAGCCACCAATTGTGCAAGTTCTCCCACGTAAAATAATGACAGAGGTCTGTAATTTTCATCATAGGTACACTTGTGAGAGACAGAATGTCAAAAAAAAAATCCAGGAATTCACATTGTAGGATTTTTAAAGAATTTATTTGTAAATTATGGTGGAAAATAAGTATTTGGTCAATAAAAAAAATTCAACTCAATACTTGGTAATATAACCCTTGTTGGCAATAACAGAGGTCAAACGATTACTATAGGTCTTTACTAGGTTTGCACACACAGCAGCTGGTATTTTGGTCCATTCCTCCATGCAGATCTTCTCGAGAGCAGTGAACACGGACTTTCAACTCCCTCCACAGATTTTCAATGGGGTTGAGGTCTGGAGACTGGCTAGGCCACTCCAGGACTTTCAAATGCTTCTTACGGAGCCACTCCTTCGTTGCCCGGGCGATGTGTTTGGGATCATTGTCATGCTGGAAGACCCAGCCACGTTTCATCTTCAAAGCTCTCACTGATGGAAGGAGGTTTTGACTCAAAATCTCATGATACATGGCCCCATTCATTTTTTCCTTAACACGGATCAGTTGTCCTGTCCCCTTAGCATAAAAACAGCCCCAAAGCATGAAGTTTCCACCCCCATGCTTCACAGTAGGTATGGTGTTCCTGGGATGCAACTCAGTATTCTTCTTCCTCCAAACACGACGAGTTGAGTTTGTACCAAACAGTTCTACTTTAGTTTCATCTGACCACTTGACATTCTCCCAATCCTCTGCTGTATCATCCATGTGCTCTCTGGCAAACTTCAGACGGGCCTGAACATGCACTGGCTTCAGCAGGGGGACACGTGTGGCACTGCAGGATTTAATTCCCTGTCGTAGTAGTGTGTTACTGATGTTAACCTTTGTTACTTTGTGTAAGCCCTCAGTCGTACAGGGATTAGTCAAAGCAAAGGAAGGTTTCTCACCCATCATCTGTATTTCTTAGCAAGTTTTTCCGACGTTTCGTCCTCAAACCAGCGGACTTCTTCAGGGAATGAATTCTCAGACCGCGCATTGGAGATTTATAACCTATGGGTGTGGTTAGACACACCCTAATCCTGATACTAACTCATAAACAATCTAAGGTCTGTTTGATGTAGAAGGGAGCAGATCTAACGACCCTGCTGAGGCTAACGACCCTAACTCCTTAGCATGTCACAGACCTATTGTCTGCTGGGATGCTCAAGTGGAGTGCAGGTCTCACCCCATCCTAAGAGGGGTGAGGCTAACCACACCCATAGGTTATAAATCTCCAACGCGCGGTCTGAGAATTCATTCCCTGAAGTCCGCTGGTTTGAGGACAAAACGTCGGGAAAACTCGCTAAGAAGTACAGATGATGGGTGAGAAACCTTCCTTTGCTTTGTTACTTTGTTTGGTCCCAGCTCTCTGCAGGTCATTCACCAGGTCCCCCCGTGTGGTTCTGGGATTTTTTATCACCGTTCTCATGATCATTTTGACCCCACGGGATGAGATCTTGCGTGGAGCCCCAGATCGAGGGAGATTATCAGTGGTCTTGTATATCTTCCATTTTCTGATAATTGCTCCCACAGTTTATTTGTTCACACCAAGCTGCTTGCCTATTGTAGATTTACTCTTCCCAGTCTGGTGGAGGTCTACAATTCTTTTCCTGGTGTCCTTCGACAGCTCTTTGGTCTTGGCCATAGTGGAGTTTGGAGTCTGACTGTTTGAGGCTGTGGACAGGTGTCTTTTATACAGATAACGAGTTCAAACAGGTGCCATTAATACAGGTAACGAGTGGAGGACAGAAGAGCTTCTTAAAGAAGAAGTTACAGGTCTGTGAGAGCCAGAGATCTTCCTTGTTTGAAGTGACCAAATAATTATTTTCCACCATAATTTACAAATAAATTCTTTAAAAATCCTACAATGTGAATTCCTGGATTTTTTTTCACATTCTGTCTCTCACAGTTGAAGTGTACCTATGATGAAAATTACAGACCTCTGTCATTATTTTAAGTGGGAGAACTTGCACAATCGGTGGCTGACTAAATACTTTTTTGCCCCACTGTAGCTGTTCAATAGCTATAGTATTATTTAGTTTATGGACGTTATGGACCAATGGCTCCATGTGTTTTTTATCATTGCATTTCCTGTGTTTCAACTGATTCTTTGGTCTTTCTGTTGGCGAATTCAACAGTTTGGTTAAGTCCTCAGAGATAACTACTGTTGTGATTATGGGCCAAACAAGAATACATTGAAACAATAATAATAATACATAATTTATAAATGACATGTCCTATAAATATTTTTAATAAACTGCACAAAAAACAGGATTATTTATCAAACAACAAAGTGAAGCACCATATTTATGTAGTTTTAGCATATTTTCTGCTTCTTTTCCTTTGGTGAAACTGGGGAAAACACTAAAATGCCAAAAAAGACCTTTTTGAGCCATTTTGTCGCAGTTTATAAATAGAACGTTGATAATGGGTGCATTTGAGAAATTTACATAAAACGAAACCCACATTTCGAAATTTTAAAGATTGAATGTTTTGAAAGAATAAAAAAGCATTCTATAGTTATTTAGTTTGCACCTTTAATCATCCCACAGATTGGGGAAATGTTGATACAAAACGTCACAAATACAATTAAGTGCTGTTACTAACCTGGGTGATTTTGTTGTGATTTGCCAAAAACATGGACAGATTTTGAGACTCCTGGATTGAAGACGGCTCTGACATCTTTCTGAGAAACTGCGCGGCTCTAAAGAAGGAAAAATAAAATCTGTGATTTAAGTAGGAAAAATATTTGCTTTATTTAAAATCGTGACTTTCAAGCTTTTAAGTATAGCTTGAAGGCCACGCTTCTCTGGTCCCTCTCTCTCCCGCCACTCTGGTCCCTCTCTCTCCCGCCACTCTGGTCCCTCTCTCTCCCGCCACTCTGGTCCCTCTCTCTCCCGCCACTCTGGTCCCTCTCTCTCCCGCCACTCTGGTCCCTCTCTCTCCCGCCACTCTGGTCCCTCTCTCTCCCGCCACTCTGGTCCCTCTCTCTCTCCCACTCTGGTCCCTCTCTCTCTCCCACTCTGGTCCCTCTCTCTCTCCCACTCTGGTTGCACTCTCTCTCTCACTGGTCCCTCTCTCTCACTGGTCCCTCTCTCTCACTGGTCCCTCTCTCTCACTGGTCCCTCTCTCTCACTGGTCCCTCTCTCTCACTGGTCCCTCTCTCTCACTGGTCCCTCTCTCTCACTGGTCCCTCTCTCTCACTGGTCCCTCTCTCTCACTGGTCCCTCCCTCTCACTGGTCCCTCCCTCTCACTGGTCCCTCCCTCTCACTGGTCCCTCCCTCTCACTGGTCCCTCTCTCTCACTGGTCCCTCTCTCTCACTGGTCCCTCTCTCTCGCTGGTCCCTCTCTCTCGCTGGTCCCTCACTCTCACTGGTCCCTCTCTCTCACTGGTCGCTCTCTCTTACTCTGGTCCCTCCCTCTCACTGGTCCCTCTCTCTCGCTGGTCCCTCTCTCCTTCTCGCTCGATTCTTTTCAATTAACACATCATTATGCTCAAGGAGGATGAGAATAGACAAAAACATGGTACCTGCCAGGACATAGAAAGAATATACAACCATAATTGAAAGATTGTTTAAAAGGAAGAATAAATGTTTAGCTATCGTTGCCTAGAAGTTTCCGGTTATCAATTGTCCCTTTCCCTCTGGGGGAAATTGACTGGCTGTGAATTGACTATTGAATTGGAGTGTTGTATGACATCAGAGATATAGATACCATTGGGGTCGATGCTGGGACCTCTTCTGTTCAATTTCTACATGCGTCTTGTCACAAACAGGCAGACGACACTCAGATCTATGCATCACAGCAGGACTCACTCTTTCACTGCTTCCAACAGATCAATGAGTGAATGCAAAACAACTTCCTTAAGCTAAACACAGACAAAACTGAAATGATTGTCTTTGGTCCCACAAACAAAGAGTGTCATCTGTCAGCTCCAGTCTTTATTCTAAAAACTTTCCAATCAGGTCAGAAATCTAAGGGTAATGGACTCTGAAATTTTAACAGCCACATCAACGCAATCTGTAGTTTTTACCATCTAAAAACATTGACAAAAAAAGTGTGTCTAAAGCAGACTTGGAGATTTTTATCCTGCATTCTTCTCCAGCATGTTAGACTGTAAAACAGCTGCTCACTGGTCTCTCCAAAAAAGTTGTAAAAGAGCTGTACTTCCTGACAAGAACCAATAAGTAAGATCACATTAGTCCTGGTCTCAGGTCTCTGCTTCCTGTGGCTCAGAGAACAGACTTTAAAACAACTCTGCTTGTTACAAGTCTCTGCATGGACTTGCACCAAAGTACATCAGTAACATGTTAGTGCCATATGAACCAAGGAGGACTCTGGGGAGCACAGGGACTGGCCTCCTGCTGGTGCCCAGAGTCAGTGTTTCTGATTTATGCAGCTAAAATCATGAAAAAGTCTTCTTGAAAATGTGAGCCAGGCTTCTTCTCTGACAATGTTCAAATCCAGGTTAAAAACAGTTCTGTTTAGCCGTGCATACAACCAAGGGATTGTTCACTATTTTTAATGTACTGTGAATATTTATGATTTGAATGCCTTTTTCAAGCAGTTTCCGTTTCCTTGCCTATGAACCGTGCTCTACAAACACACTTCCCTCCCCTGCCAGTCCGGTGCTGTACCTTTTGTAAGCAGAGTGGTCATTCTTCACGCTGCACTTCATGTTTTTGAGCTCGTCCAACACGGCAAACATGTTGATGAACCTCCCCAGAGTGAGAAGATACGCCTCTGACACAAAGTCCTTCCGGCGCTCAGTGTGACACAGACGCCGCACCTCTCCACAGAACCGATCAATGGCCGTTCTCTGAAGAAGACACAAAACAATAATAAAATAAAGTCTCCCTCTCTCCCTCTCTGGTCCCCTCTCTCCCTCTCTGGTCCCCTCTCTCCCTCTCTGGTCCCCCCTCTCTCTCTCTGGCCAACATTAGACATTTTTGAGCCATTTTGTCTCTGGTTAGAAATAGAAATTTGATAATAGATGTATTTGAGGCGATTGAGGGCAGAAATTTTGAACTTTAAAAAAATATGACTAGGGACATGTTTATTACCTGGAAGTACATAAAGTTCATGAGTTTTGTGACTTCTGGTTCCAGGACCTCCACGGTTTTCTCATAGATCTCCACTCTGTTCGGCTGCTCGTTGCATTTCACCTGTGAGAGATAAACAACACTTTTTGTTTCCAGGCTTTATAGAACATCTCAATACACAAATAGGCCGTGATTAACATGGAGAGTGAGAAATATGCTTGACTATAAAGCTGACCTGTGGAATGGCCCGCGAGCAGCTCCTCCAGGTGTAGAGCATGACGGCGTACTCCTGCCCCTCCTCCAACATCTCGTTCTGAACCAATACAATAACTACATGTCAAGACACAACAAAAGGCTTCATCAGGGGTGGTCTCTCGCTGGTCTCTCTCTCGCTGGCCTCTCTCGCTGGCCTCTCTCGCTGGCCTCTCCCGCTGGCCTCTCCCGCTGGCCTCTCCCGCTGGCCTCTCCCGCTGGCCTCTCCCGCTGGCCTCTCCCGCTGGCCTCTCCCGCTGGCCTCTCCCGCTGGCCTCTCCCGCTGGCCTCCCGCTGGCCTCTCCCGCTGGCCTCTCCCGCTGGCCTCTCCCGCTGGCCTCTCCCGCTGGCCTCTCCCGCCGCTGCCTCTCTCGCTGGCCTCTCTCTCGCTGGCCTCTCTCGCTGGCCTCTCTCGCTGGCCTCTCTCGCTGGCCTCTCTCGCTGGCCTCTCTCGCTGGCCTCTCTCGCTGGCCTCTCTCGCTGGCCTCTCTCGCTGGCCTCTCTCGCTGGCCTCTCTCGCTGGCCTCTCTCGCTGGCCTCTCTTGCTGGCCTCGCTCTCTCTTGCTGGCCTCGCTCTCTCTCGCTGGCCTCGCTCTCTCATTAAATTCATGTCAAGACACAACAAAAGCTATCTTCAGGAGGTGGTCAGAAGAACCTCAGTCTGTCAGGTTTCCAGACAAAGTGCTTTTTAAAACAGTCTCCATCTGAATGATTACAATGTCTCAGTGATTAAACACAAAGCCACAGTTTGCTCGTTAAATGAGTTCTCTGGACTGAATCTAACTATGTGACCCGAGCAGAGTTCACACTGGCAAATCTACTGCATGTTTTGGTCTCTTAAAGCTGGAGTACCTAACTGTGAACCCACACAAGAATAAACTACGGCATGTGCTAAAACACATGATAGTTTGCTTCCATCACTCGTTTCACATACACTTCAGGCCTCTGTCAAACCCTTGGATCTGCTTTTTCAAACAGAAAAGTGAACCCTAACTCAGCCAATCAAAATATTAGTATAAAGTTGCTGATGAATAATATCAGTCCTGCTATCAATGGTGGGGCTTCCACTGTGACCCTCACTGACAGGTGGGTGAAATTACTTCTGAATTATAGGGGGGGTCTCTCCCTGTGGTCTGTCTGTGGACCCTCTCTGAGACCATGTAGCAGAAGGCCCCAGCAGAGGGCCAGAGCCTCCATGTGTCCTTGTGTGTATGTATGGTTTTTGATGCAAAAAATTATTTATTAGGCAACAGCTAGTCTTATGTTGTATCAATGTTAAGTGGTTTCTCACATTTTTCCCACTGGGTTTTTGTGAGTTTTTCCTTGCCGATGCAGGAGGGTCTGTTGGACAGTTAATGTCCAACAAAAAGGACTGTGGTGCTGATCCAGGACACTTTAAACATTCTACAACATGTATGGACATTTATCATCATGTGTTCTAAATTCTTTATGTGTTTTAACTGTTGATTCTCTGATCTGTGTTGGTGATTTCAATGGTTTTGTTAAGTCCTCTGAGATTACTTCTGTTGTGATTTAGGGCTATACAAGAATAAATGGTATTGTATTGTAAGTAAGTAAGTAAGTAATCTTTATTTATATACCGCCTTTTCACTGCACATCGGAGTCTCAAAGCGGTTTACAATTGTTTTTGTTTGTATGTAAAAGAAAATACAAGTCTTTCTGTTGGGACACACGTTTGATACACATTTATGAAATCATAAAAAAGTTACATGCTCCAGCTATAAGATGATTATTTTCTAATATAGTTTGATAGTTTAAGTTATTATGAATCATTTTAAAACAGACCAGTGCAACATCGACCCGATGTATGAACTTTTGTAATTCCTGAAAAATTTTGATGTAAATTATGGTGGTGTTTTTACTCAAAAACAGACTTGTGAATAGATATTCACAATTATTTCTATAAAGATTTTTTATATATGTTAATATTTGTGCCTCTTGAAATTGTATTAATTATTAACTGTACATCTGTAGCCACAGCTGCTCTGGGACGAGGACAGAGATAATTTCACATATACTTTATAAATACGACTATACAAAAAGCAAAAACAGGAGCAGGAAGTAAATAATTAGTAAATAATGGTTTAAAGATGGTCGAACACAATAAAAAGTGTGTGGGGAGTGTACCATGCTGGAGTGGACTGTGGCCTGCTCAATGTAGCGGGCGATCCCAGTGACAAAGGCATTTCTGTCTTCAAAGTTGGTGTTGAAGTTTGGCTGTGGACAGGAGCCATATTGTGACACAACATCAAGGGAACAAACGGTCAAATACACACAATGAACAGGGAAAAAATGTACTTGTGCTGAAATTTGGGTTTGAAAATTGCACTTTCGTGGAATACATTGTGAAAAGGTTTGCAATAAGTGCTTTGAAAGTTGGATTTTCGTGCAACGCTTGAATGAAAAAAATAAAATAAAAAATAGCTGCACTGCAAAAGGTTATGGAAAATAAGTCAAAAAAATTGGCAAAAATTGATCTTAATTTGAGAAAATTAAACCCCTTATAACTTGAAAAAAAAAAACTGGTTAATGCTCTGTAGCCCCATGCTAGCCTGGAATATGTACTGATTGATTATTGTGTTGCTCTTGATGGTCCTGAACCCTCTTGTTGCAGTGTTGGAGCTCACCTGGTACATGAGAGAGGCAGGCAGAGGCTCAATGCAGGGCTGCTGGTCGGGGAGGGGCAGCTCCTCCAGAAGGTCCACGTTGGACAGAGCATCCTCCAGAGTCACTGCGGTCGTCATTCTGAAGCTGAACACAACACAAAGCACTCGTCATTTAAACAAGAAATGTTATTCAGTTTCACTTGAAAAGAGTATTTAGTTATTTCATGATTTAGAATGTGAAATAGTATTTTAATTCATTTCTGCTTGTAACTCCCTACACTTCCACCAGAGGCAGGATTATACTTTCTTTTTAATTATATCTATTTATAAAAGATACAAACAATATAGATTATCTGCAAATACAGACATGCATGTGAAATCCAGATCCCACCAAGCAGCCAATATTGTAACAGGCCCACCCAAGACATTACCAAAAACAAAAGACATTTTATAGGCAATAGTTTTGTTTTAAAAAAGGCACACAAAAAAACTCAAAATGACATCATACTATAGCATTAAAGCTAGGCCTCATTTTTCACAACATGCTTCCTTCCTTTGACCTGAAAACTAATTTTTACTAATTTTAAAGAGCCCTGTGAGTTCAGAGCTTTACCATGAGGTGGAGATAAAGTTGTGTTAGCAAAGCAGACGGACACAGAAAACGACACAGTGGGCCGCTATTGGCTCCTGGGCCTTGGTTTGGACATGCCTGGTCTGCATCTTTTTAAGTTTGAAGGTATTCTTGGTTATCAGAGAATGAAATGAAAAAGATTCTGAACACCTGGACATATTTGTAGCAAGTTCAGACAAGGATAGAGAGAAGGTTTGGCCCTAGAGGAAACACAAAACCAAATCAACATACATGTAAATGCTAGCAAAAAAATCATACTTTATAACTTATTTTTTACATATGGCTTTTCTACTGAAAGATCAAGGCTATGCTCACTCTCAGAGAGCAGCCGTCCTCCTGTGGACTCACCACCTGCAGAGGGTCAGTGAGGGGCTGGTGCTATGAGACTTGGCCCTGACCCAGAAATGGATTAAAGGGTAGAAGATGGATGGATGGATGGCTTTTCTACTGCAAGAGCTACAGAGCAAAATAGCTTATTCCAGCAAAGACATTCAGACAGTCTACTTCTATGTTGTAAGGTTAAGGTTTTGTAAGAGCACTGTTGCAATAGGATTAAAGTAAGTAGAGTTCGGCAATCTTTCTATTTTCATAGTAAAGTCAACCGCCAAAATTGAGTAGTTCCTAATATAACTCAGTGTCTAAATCTATGCAATAGGCATGAATAGATTTAACAGACTATTACGGTTATTATTTGATTTATATTCATTTTTTTATTTTTAGTTACAAAACAAGATACTCAAAGACCAATCTATATATAAATACAAAATAAAAGCACCAACATAAATAATAATGTTAAATTGAACATAGGTAAGAAGTACATATGTAAGGGATAATGTATATTACGCAGGTCATTATCGGAAAATAAGTACCGACAGGGCGAAAACATTATCCCGCTTATTATACGGCTTTGCACCAACAGAACACACAAAATAAACTTCAGTCCACTCTTAGGAATGCCAAAAGGTTTATTTAATGACAGAAAATAAAATTCTTCCCAAAGGCATTCCCGTGGTTATGCGAGTAACAGTTAGGCTAGCAACAGCTAGGCTAGTAAAAGTTAGGCTATCAACTTCCAAACTAGAACTCTCTGGAACTGCATGAAAATTGAACAAAGAATTCTGAACATCAGCGGTGAGTGACCCAAACATAAACTTAGCCTAAATCCATAATTCGATCCTCTGCAAATGTTCCTAAAATGTCCCGGAATCTACTTCTGGGTTTTCGCGATTGATTTTTCTCACATTAAAACAGAATTTTTGTCATGAAAACCTTAACAGATACTTCTGAAAACCTCCGTGCATGTGTATTAAGAATGTATATGTATAATGTATTCTCCGATTAACATTTAAATGTGTTTGATTGATTGGTATTTGCGTTTATTGAGCGTGGCTAGCTCCGGAGGGGCCGGAACTACTTGCGGAGTAATCTACACATCTGAATTACAAGGACAGAGTGCGTTGCCATGGGCAGCGGTCATTCTTGTTTTGTGAGGTCGGTTATCAATAAATAATGACCGATAGAACGTTTTGAAATGACATTCAAATCAATGGAGCATTCTACTGCTGCTGTGAGGAGCCGTGTAATAAAAATAAAATAACAAATTGGCTCATTATTTACATAGCTGTGGCATATTAAGCATATATGATTAAATATATCTATTTGTGAACTCTGCCTGTTTTCGTCTGTTTTATACCCACAATATGTAGGTTATATATGTTAGTTATATTTATTTCCAACCTGAAGATCCCAATTTCACATATCTTCAAACTAATACAGGTTTGAAAAGGGGTTACATGAAGTAGACTTAGAACCGATTTGCAGAGTTGCACCAGGCATTTTACTTTGGGACCTCAGGAGATAAACAAGATATGGCGGACGTGAACATAAATAAAAGATTCTTGTGATTGTTGCGTCACTCTTGACTTGGATCCAGTTCAAATCAGACATTATACATTATACAACACATATTAGTAATTGCAAGTTGATCTCAATCTCATCATGAATTAGAATCAAAATCCAAACCTAGTCATTCAAAACAAATGGAACAATGTCCTCTATCAGCTAAACAACAAATAAAAAATAAGTGCTGCGTGTTGTGAAATTTATAGAAAAGAGAAGGAAGTCACCGGAGGCAAAGACAGTTCTCAGATAAAGTGCTGTAGATTCGGTCACGAGAGAAGATTGCAGGAGAAGGTTTTTCTGACATATATAAGTTTTAACTTTTTACTCGCTTCATTCACAGACGCATGTATAGGTTTTCACTTCATTGTCTCTGTCTTTATTTCAATGTTTATTTACAGACTCCTTACAAATAGACAGATATGTTTTTGTTTGTTAGGATTTTGAGGATTATGATTATTCCATACAATCTGTACAGGTTTTTACAATCTGTGAGTCAAACATTGAAGGACATTTATCAACATTTATGGACATTGGTCATTTGCCCCCCATGGACCAATGGGGTTTGATTCTCTGATTTGTGTTGGCGAATTTAAAATGTAACGGTTTTGTTAAGCATCTTACTTTGCGTGTAACGAGCGTCATACAATTAGGAACAGTCTTCCTATGTCTATCTGTGCATACAAATGTACTGTGTATTAAAAAAAAATCACAGTACATTAAAAAGTAATGTGATTATTTATGATTTCAATGCCTTCTGGGATTTTTACGTTTCTTTTATTGTTTTTCTCTTTTTCTTGTGTATAAAATGTGCCGTACAAATAAACTTTACTTGCCTAGTTTATAGTTCTATTTACAAACTTAAGTTCAAAATGAGTGAACCACCAAACCAGTGGTAACAACCTGGAGCTGAACGCCCAGAAGACAGTGGAGATGATTGTGGACTTCAGGAAGAGCACTGTCCCCCCGCCCCCACCCTCCGTGATGGACTCCCCCATCACCTCTGTGGAGTCCTTCCGTTTCCTGGGCACCACCATCACCCAGGACCTCAAGTGGGAGCCGACCATCAGCTCCCTCATCAAGAAGGCCCAGCAGAGGATGTACTTCCTGCGGCAGCTCAGGAAAGCCAAGCTGCCTGCACAGATGTTGGTGCAGTTCTACACGGCCATCATCGAGTCCATCCTCACCTCCTCCATCACCGTGTGGTTCGCTGGAGCCACAGTCAGGGACAAACAGAGACTACAGCGCATTGTGCGCTCTGCAGAGGAAGTGATCGGCCGCAGCCTTCCATCGCTGCAGGACCTGTACGTCGCCCGAGCTCGAGGCCGGGCTGGTCGTATCACAGCCGACCCCTCTCACCCTGCACATGGACTATTCCAACCACTCCCCTCAGGCAGGAGGCTGCGGTCCATCAGGACTAGAACCTCCCGCCACAAGAACAGTTTCTTCCCCTCTGCTGTTGGACTCTTGAACACTTCTTAACCTGTCCCCCCGCCCTTTATAAAGTCACTTTACTGCCCATCATACGTCACTTTACTTCACGTACTGCTGTCACCTTACATTGTGTGCACCATGTGCACTTGTATATTGTAAATAGTAACTGTAACTCTATTTTAAATTTAAATTTATTCTTTAGAAGTGTTTTTTATTCTTATTTTTATTATCTCTTTTTGACTGTTGCACTGAGCCAAAGCAATTTCCAAGTCTGTGACCGCCCGTTACTTACGTTGGCAATAAAAATGATTCTGATTCTGATTCTGATTCTGATTCAGGGTTCTCTGTTTCAAGTCATTTTTGTGGTTTCACATCTCCACAAATAAAGCAATTTTGCACTTCCTGGTTTATCTGAGGCAAACATCAGTGGCTCACATGTCCGTCAAGAAGTACTTAACTCTCTTTATTGGATGTGAAGACTTAGTCTACATAGCTGTAAATCAATTTTAACGGTTAAACATTAAAACTGGAGATAGGATCGTGTAGATTCAGTTCAATATCAAAGCCTGGGATGCACCGAGTCTCATACCATAAGACCCGATGCCGGTAACCGATACCCAAATTTTTTATTTACATAAGCGTCATGACAGCAGACAGCTGTGTTGCCATGGTGAACTCCCAAAGTCGGCAGCGAGAAGGCAAGCTAGTGGCCAGCAAGCTAGGATGTTTGTACTGTGTTTGGACTATAAGTTGTGTACCAGCAACTTGATCAAACATCTGAAAACTCACTGTAACTGGCGCTAAGGCTACCATAACAAGAGTATAACTGACGCTTTTGTTGCCATAGCAACGGAGATCATTTTTGCTACCTTTTAAGCATGTTTCTCAAAGAAGAAATGGAGAAGTATTTTAAAGTATGTTATAAAGAGACGTTTTTGCAGCTTGGAAAGTGTATTATTCTACGATTGGTCAACTAAGGCGCACACGGTAACTTTATTTAATTATGTATTTTATTTTCAGACTAGTAACAATTTGTGATTTACTGTATGGATATTTGCAAGCTCTCCATTATCCTTGTAGTTTTCACTGTGTTCCAAATGCCTGTCTGAAATTAAATGTGGCTGGACATCAGTCCAAGTTAAGTTCTTTTTTTTGGAGATCAACGTAGTTACACTCACCAC